ACGGTCGCGGCGACGGCGGTCGCGGCGACGACGGCTCCTCCTCGACGACGTCGACGGACGGCGTCGAGTCGCCGTCGCTCGCGTCGTCGATTTCGGGCTCGGCGAGGGCCCCGGGCTCGTCGTCGTCGTCGTCGGCGATCTTGTCCCAGCGGCTGTAGTCGATGCCCCCGGGCTCGTCGGCGCGCCGCGGCGGCGACGGCGGCGACGGCGGTCGCGGCGACGACGGTTGCGGCGACGACGCCTCCTCCTCCTCGGCGGCGCGCTCCTCCTCGGCGGCGGCGACCGCGGGCGGCGAATCGTCGCGCGCGTCGCCTTCGGCCTCCTCGGCGGGCGCCGTCGCCCGGCCGTCCTCGTCCTCGTCGTCCTCGTCGTCGATCTTGTCCCAGCGGCTGTAGTCGATGGGCGACGGCGCCCGGAACGCGGCCGCGGCGTCCGGGTGGCTGCTCCGCGCGGCGAGGCGCGCGACCTCGGCGCGGGCCTTGGCCTTGTTCGTCGGCATGCTGTGGCGCCGCGGCGGCAGGCGCTCGCGCTCCTCGTCGCTCTCAGAGTTCCACTGCGAGTCGGCCCACTTGCTGTAGTCCAGGCCCGGCGCGGCGACGAAGCCCACGCGCGGCGCCGTGTAGCGCTCGATGCTCCCGCGGGGCCGCGCGCCCCGCGGCGGCGTGCTGTAGCGCTGGAGGCCGTGGACGCCCGGGCCCGTGGACCGGCTCCGGCGCCGCCGCCGCGCGCGCTGGAAGAACGGCACGTCGCCGCCCGTCGGCGTCGCCGGGGACGCCGGTTCGGGGGATGCGTGCTCCGCGTCGTCCGCGTCGTCCGTCTTCTCCGCCTCGTCGGCCTCGGACTCGTCCTCGGGCGCGCCCCGGGCCGCGGGGACCTCCGGCGCCGCGGGGGGCGGCTCGGCGGCGCGCGGCTCCTCGGCCGGCTCGGCGGCGCGCGGCGGCTCGGGAGCGACCGGCGGCGCCGCCGGCGCTCGCCGCGGCGGCGCCCGCGCCGCGACGGCTGGCGACCGCCGCGCCGCGGCCTCGGGAGCGGCCGGCGGACCGGGCTGCGTCGGGAGCGACGCCTCGTCGTCGGCGCTCTCCTCGTCCCCGAAGCGGTCCCAGCGCGAGTAGTTGAAGGCGTCCCACCGCTGGGCCGGGAGGACGTCCATGGCCATGGTTTGGCGCGTACTCCTCACCACGAATGTGGAGTGGGCGCCATTATCTTTCAGTAATCGGGCTGTGTTTGGAGGTAAGTGGGTGCAACGTTACAGGAATGTTGAAGTTGGGGTTGAATCTCCGTGCGCGTGGGCCGGTCGCCCGGGAATCCGTCTGGGAGAAGTCCGGGGGATCCAGCGTGTGCAGTGGATGGGTGCGGATTCCCTCCTGCTGGGTGGATGCCTCGACCTGCGCCCCGGCACAGCTCCGATCTTGCCGTCTCGGTGCTCTCGCGAGATCTCGACGTTCCTGATTCGCTCGACCCGACATCTGTTGTGAGTGCCGCCCGCGCCGCCCCGCCTACCCTCCCAAAATGCCTCCCACCCCCCTCCTCGACCCCCTCGACACCCCCTCCGATGATCGTCGACTCCTCGGAGTTCGTAAATCGCCCGTCGTAAAGTTTGCTTCGATCGCCTTCGACTCGCTTCGGCGAAGGCGATCCTCCCGTCCGCGCCCCCGCCGGCCCTTGGGGCGGCGGGGTCGCGTTCGGAGGGCGACCTCGTCCCGTCGGGACCGACGGGCCACCCGGTGACGGGGCCCACCCCCGTAGACGCGACGCGAGCGCTCGCGCGAGAACTCTATCGATATCCATCGGTTCTTCCGCGCCCGCGCGTTCACTCGCTTCCCATCCCGCGGGCCTCGGGCCTCCGCCCTCCGCCCGCTCGGCCGCCCGCTCCGCCCCTTCCAACCCGCGCCTGCCCACGTGTGTCAACCCCTTCGCAGATATTAATTAAAAACATGGCCAAGCCCTCCACGAAGAAGCCCGCCGCGAAGAAGCCGACCGCCAAGAAGGCGAAGAAGGACCCCAACAAGCCCAAGGGCGCGTCCTCCGCCTACATCTTCTTCAGCTCCGCGATGCGGCCCAAGCTCAAGAAGGACGGCGACTCCATCGGCGACGTCGCGAAGAAGATCGGTGTTGAGTGGGGCAAGCTCTCCGACAAGGAGAAGGCGCCGTACCAGAAGTTGGCCGACGCGGACAAGGTCCGCGCCCAGAAGGCGATGGCCAAGTACAAGGCCAAGTAGGCGCGCGACCACCGCGCGCGAGGTCGAAGGCGCGCCGCCGCCTCCCTCGCCAAGCACCAAGAATACCGCTCCCGACTCGGACCCGAGCGAAGTCGCGCGGAGAAGTAAAGACACCGTCGCTCGATCGTGACGTTCTCTAGAGTAGCCGCCGCCGCGCCCGGCTCTCGCCACTCGCGAAGTCGCGCGGAGAAGTAAAGACATCGTCGCTCGACTTATGAACCGCTCACGCGTCCGGCGGCGGCGGCGGCACCGCCGCCGCCTCCTCCTCCGACCCGTCGTCGGGCTCGTCGAGGTCCTCGAGCGCCGCGGCGACGGTCTCCGCCCACGCGTGCTCCGCGACGTGGTCCTCCTCCGGCGGCGCGGGGAGCTCGTCGTCGTCGTCGTCGTCGTCGTCGTCGTCGACGAAGTCCTGGTCGTCGTCGTCGTAGTAGTCGTCGTCGTCGTCGTCGTCGTCCATGTCGTCGTCCATGTCGTCGTCGTCGTCGTCGTCCGTGTCGTCGTTCGTGCACTGGCTCCGGGGCACGAGCACGCGGCTCCCGTAGGCGTCGCGCCGCACCTCCCAGGCCTCGTCGCCGTCGCTCGCCGCGTCGTCCGCCGCCGGCGCGTCGTCGTCGGGCGCCCAGTCGTGGCGCGCGAAGGCGAGGCAGTAGTAGAGCGCCTCGAGCGGCAGGTGGCCGAGGCCGCACGCGCCCGAATCGCGGAGCACGTGCGACGCGCGGCACAACAAGAACGTCTTCACGAGGCGTCGGAAGCCCGCGCCGAAGCGGCCGTGCGCGTCCGGCGTCCACAGCAGCAGCCGCACCTCGTACTTGACGGCCCCGACGAACTCGCGCCGCGGCCGCCAGGCGACGTCGCCCCAGTAGCCCACGCGCGCGAAGGGCGCGCCGCCCGTGTGGGCCACGCCGGACAGGATCCGCACGTGCGCGTCCTCGAGCGTGACGCCGCGGTGGCGCTGGTTGTTGTAGACGACGCCGTCGGAGCTCTCCGCGTGGACGTAGACGCCCAAACGGTGCCGCGCGGCGCCGTCGGCGTCGCCCGCGTCCCGCGGCGCGAGCCGCGCGGGCTGCGCGAACGGCAGCTCGCGCGGCTCGCGCGGCGCGGCGGGCACGTCGCCCGCGAAGCGCAGCTTCCACTCGTTCGGCGGCTTCAGCGGCGAGAAGTAGCGCCGCATCTCCGGCCGGTCGTCGAGCGTCAGATTCGGCTCGAAGCCGCCCGCCGCGGACAGCACCTTGACCTCGCCGAGCGCGCCGCGGACGCTCACGCCGCAGACGTCGAGCCACTCCACGGGCACGCTCCCCGTGAGCTCGACGTTGAAGACGATGCCGTGGAACGTGTGGTCGTTGTCGTCGCGCGTCGTCAGCTCGAACGCGCCGCTCTGGACGTAGTCCGCGCTCACCTCGCGCCGCTGCTCCCGCAGCTCGAAGAAGCTCCGCACGCGCTCGGGGTCGCGCCAGGCGTGCTCCGTCGCCTCCTCGGCGGCGGCCATCGTTTAGCTTAACTGGGGGGTTCTCGGCGTCGCGGCGCAGCCTCGGGACGGAAAAGCGTCGCACACCCTCGGCCTCTTTGCGGCAACGACTGCACCTTCCTTCCCCGTTCAGCGAGTGCTTTTGCTTGAGCTCTGCTCGGCTGCCACAAACGAGGTGTGCCAGAAAAATCGACGCGATGGGGGCCACGAAGACGCGCGTCGCAGCGTCCGCCAATGCAACACATCACACAATCGTCGCGCCGCAGGGTCGAGGACGACGATGCGCCGAAGAAGAAGCTCAGCCGGCGCGAGCGGCGGCGCCTGCTCGAGGAGAAGGAGATGGCCAAGTACCACCGCAGCGACTGGGAGATCATGAAGCCCTACGCGTTCATCGGCGCCAAGGTGCTCGCGGGCCTGCTCGCGGCCTACGGCGCCTGGTGCGGCCTCTGCTGGCTCGTGTCCACGGACACGCTCGTCTGCGCGTGCCTCATCGTCGGCCCGTTCGCGGGCGTCTACTACGTGACGCCGCCGCCGGAGCGGCCGCCGCGCGCGCGCGTCGAGGAGATCTGGGTCTACCCGGTCAAGAGCTGCAAGGGCGTGCGCTACTACAGCGCCAGGCTCGACGCGCAGTGCGGCCTCGAGCGCGCGCCGGCGTCCGAAAGAGCGAAGCGTTCGACGACGCAAACCTCGCGCGCCGCAGGAACGACCGGCGCTGGATGGTCGTCGACGCCGACGGCGTCTTCGTGAGCCAGCGGCGCTTCCCGAAGCTCTGCCTCGTCGCGCCGAGCCTCCCGGCCGAGGCGCCCGGCGCGCTCCGCCTCGAGGCGCCGGGCATGCCGCCGATCGACGCGCCCGTCGTCGACGACGGCCCGCGCGTCGCCTGCCGCGTCTGGGGCGACAGCGTCGAGGGCGTCGACCAGGGCGCGACGGCGGGCAAGTGGGTCTCCAAGTTCCTCCGGTGCCGCGGCTGCCGGCTCGTCCGCATGCCCGACGGCGCGACGCGGCAGGTCGACCGCAAGTACGCGCCCAAGCGGACCTCCACGGCCTTCTCCGACGGGTGCGTGTCGCTCTTGTTTCATGTTTCCGAACCTGCGTCGTCCCAGGTTCCCGCTGCTCGTCGCCGCGACGGAGTCGCTCGCGGACCTCAACGCGAGGCTCGAGAAGAAGAAGGCGCCGCCCGTGCCCATGGACCGCTTCCGGCCGAACCTCGTCGTCGCCGGCGTCACCAAGGAGGGCAACGCGCCCTTCGCCGAGGACGCCTGGAAGACGATGACGCGCGCCGGCGACCGCCTCGCGCTCACCGTGGCCAAGCCCTGCAGCCGCTGCAAGATGCCCACCATCGACCAGGCGACGGGCGAGCCCGACGGCGGCGACGCGACGACGGACGACGCCGCCGCCGACGAGGGCGGCGGGCCCCGGGCCCTCGCGGAGCCCACCGCGACGCTCAAGGAGTACCGCACGGGCGCGGCCCTGAAACTCAAGAACCCCAAGTGGCGCCAGGAGGTCTTCTTCGGCCAGAACATCACCCACGCGAGCCCGGGCGCCGAGATCAACGTCGGCGACACGTTCTACGTCCGCAGCAAGGGCCGGAGCTGCGCGATCTCCTAGGTCGGCGGTCGTAAGAAGCTCCTCCGCGCGAGCGGCCCCGTTAGCGCGCGGCGACTCTCCTCGGTGTGCGCAGTGGTGCTGGTTTTTGGTGGCCTGGCGGCTTAGGAGGCGGCGTCGGAGGGCGCCTCGGAGGGTCTCTCGGAGGAGGTCGGAGGAGTCCTCGGAGGCTGGCTTGCAGGCGGAGGCAGGCCGCCGTCGGCGTCTTAGACGCTCTCTCGACGAGCTTGTGGCGAGAACCTCAAGGAGACGATTGTCGCGGGCGACGGACACGATGGACCCCCCCAAAACGCCGGGCGAGATGGACTGGCAGGTCAAGCAGCGAGAGTACGAGCAGAGAAAGGCACGGGCGAAAGCTCTTCGCCTTCGTCTCACCTGCACCATCTGCGGCGAGAAGGCCAAGCTCAACTGTCCCTGCGAGACGACGCAGTACTGCAGTGTCGCCTGTCAAAAGGTCGACTGGCGCGAGCGGGGTCACCGCGAGGCGTGCAAGAAGATCCGGAGCGAGCGCGCGCGGGCCGAAGCGCCGACGCCCCGGCCGTCGCTCCCGGTCTACGGCCCCGCGCCGCGGTCGCAGGCCGACGAGATCCGCGCGCGCATCAAAGCCGAGCACGAGGCCGCCCGCGCGCGGCGCGAGGCGAACCCGGAGCCGGAGGCGGCGTCGGAGCGCTTCGGGTCGCGGTGCCCGATCTGCCTCGACGACTGGGACGTGAACATGGGCACCGCCGTGCAAATCTGCTGCTGCAAAAGGGTCTGCAGTTCATGTCATGAAAAGTTCCGCTTCAAGACGTGTCCTCTCTGTCGGACGCCGCCGCCGAAATCCGCGGCCGAGGACCTGGCGCGGCTTCGTCGCCATGTAGAGAACGACGTGCCAGAGGCGATGTTTGTCTTGGGGATGGCGTACCAGCAAGAAGATTTTGGCTTGAAAAGATCCGAAAAAAAGGCCGTGAAACTATACAAGCGCGCCGTGGAGAACGGGAATGTGGACTGTATGATAAGCCTTGGGAGATGCTACGAGCATGGAGCCGGCGTCAAGCTAGACAAGAAGAAGGCGATGCAGCTGTTTCGAATGGCGGCAGACCGGGGCGACGCTTCAGCGTACCACAACATTGCAGTCTTCCTCGAGTCGACCGATAGTGCCGAATCGTTCCGCATGTTAAAGTTAGCCGCTCAACAAGGCCTCGCCGATGCGCAATGTGGCGTGGCTTGCGCGTTCGAGCTCGGAAGATGGAACGCGTTCGAGATGGAGCGCGACCTCGGCGAAGCCAAACGTTGGTTCGAGCTCGCAGCCGCGTCTCGCCAGCCAGGCAGGGGTCGAGAATTCGCGCGGGGAGCGCTCGCGACTGGGAGGCTTGATGTGTGACGCGCCTCCGCGCGGTAAGACACCCAAATCCGTGCCGGTTTCCCCTCCGCGCGACCGCGACGCGGTTGTCACTAGGAGAGCGTCCAGATGAGCCCTCTGTAGAAGTAGAAGGGAGCGTTCTGCCTACGTGGTGCACGGCTACTGCGACCATGTGCGCGTCGACGGAGGCGGTCGACAGCGCCCCCCGATGTGGCGAGCCCAACGAGCCTCTCCGACGGAAATTATCGAAATCGAGGCATTGCCACCACCAACCCTCAGCTCGCCGCCCCCCTTACGCCAAAAACCTATCACGGGGCCGCCATGCCCGGCGTGAACGGCGTCCTCGCGAAGATCGGCGCCGCCGTGGTGCTCAAGCTCCTCTGCGGCGGCGACGACGTCGTCTGGCTCGCTCCCTTCCTCGCCCGCGAGAGCAAGTGGGGCAAGTGCGTCGTCGCCCAAAAGTACCTCGCCGTCGTCGCCGTGCTCTGCTCCCTCGCCGTGGGCCTCGCGACGACCGTCCACTTCGCGACGCACGCGTCGGCCGGCGGGAAGGAGGAGCGCGTCGTCGACAAGGCCGTCGCGTGCTTCGCGGGCGCGCTGCTCCTCGCCTACGCGGCGCACCTCGCCGTCGAGGAGGGCCGCTGCGCCGGCGCCCGGGCCGTCGCCCCCGAGAAGGAAGAGGAAGTTGAGTCGCTGCTGCGCCGCGAGAAGCGCGACGCCGCGTACGGCTCGGCGACGTTCGAGGAGAGCGACGAGGAGTACGAGGAGGACCTGAACTGCTGCGAGGACGCCGTGCGGCTCTGCCTCGAGAGCGGGCTGCGCGTCGACGAGGACCCCGAGGCCGACGCGGCGCGGAAGCGCTTCATCATCGTCGCGGCGCTCGGCAACCTCGACGACCTGATCGTCTATTTTACGATCGCGCTGACCTGCACGCTCCGCTGGTACGAGCTCGTCCTCGGCACGGTGATCGGCGCCGCGTTCCTCGTCACCGCGGTGTCGACGTGCCTCCAGAACTCGCACCGCGCGACGGCGTGCGTCTCCGAGATCCCCGTGTCCTTCATCCTCACGGCCCTCGCGACCTACATCATCATCTCCGCGTTCGTGCCCGCGATCTCGCCCAAGACCCTGGACTCCAACGCGTGAGTTCCGTAGGCGGGTCCCCACATAGTAAAAGTTAATTGAGCGCGCCTCCGCGGGTCGAGGAGGCGGAGGCGGCCTCGTCTTCTCGGAGCGCGGCGACGAGAAGCTTGTCCCGTCGAAGCGCGCTGCTCGCGGAGGGCCCCGGCGAGCGCCTCCGAAAGGGGGTGGTGGCTTCGCCGAGGATGTCGGGACGTCTCGCGCGCGCCGCGCGAGGCGTTCGTCGCGAGACTCCGCGAGGGCTCGCGCCGCGCGAGCGTAATTTTTCACGCGCCCGGCCCGTCGAGCGTGAGGCGCCCGAGGTCGAGGCCGAGATCGAGCGTCACCGGCTCCTCGACCTCGGGCTCGACGCGTCGCGCGGGATCCTCCGCGCGCGATCGCTCGGCGCTCGCGCCGATCGCGGCGTTTCGTATGCGTTGCCGCTCGAGCGCGGCGAACCACATCGGACCGACGACTTCCGGGCCCTGTTCCCAGATCGCTTTGCTGATGGACGGGAGCTGACCCGCGTCTCGCTGTGCCTTGATCAGATAGAGCCAGTCACGCAGCAGGACCCGTGCTGGCCTGTCCATCTGTGAGATGATGTCTGTGAGGAGCAGCCGGAGCGAGATGCGCTTCTGCGTGCCTTCGAAGCCCGCCGACATCGCAAGTTTAAAGCGCGGGCCGGGCCACGGAGGCGGCAAATGCTTGGTTTTTTTGCCACAGCGATTTTTTTGCACAAGGTCTGTCGACAGCCGCCTTTCGCCGAGTGGCGCGACCACAACTCGCACATAAACTCCCCAGGAGGCGCCTCGCGCGCAGATTCTCGTTATGTCGACGGATTTGAATTTCGTTACACGTGACGCCATACGCTTTCATAATCTGACAGCGCTTCGATGGGCTTTAGAGCAGGGCGCAGACGTGAATGCGTTGGTCACGGTGGCAACGACCTGGACGCCGCTCCTCTGTTATGCTATTGACGCGGCAGGTTTCCCGGAGCAGCGTGGAAAATTCACTCCGAAAGCTTCGACCGAAGCTGTTGAAATTCTTCTCGCCGCGGGCGCCGACGTCCATATCCGCGGACCAAACGAGGGCTCAGCACTCCACTTTACCTCAGCATACAAACGCAGCGATGTCGGCCTCCGTTGCGCTCGTCTTCTTCTGAAGGCAGACGCGGATGTGAACTGTGTTAATGCCTTCGGAAGTACACCGTTGCACCACGCGATTGCGAGAGGCAACGAGCCCGTCGCGCGGCTTTTCCTCGACGCGGGCGCCAATCCATCGACTGCTGATGACGACGGCAGTACTCCTATGGACAAAGCACTTCAGAGGGGGAGTTGCAAAATGACGTTGATGCTACTTCGCGCCGGCGCGGCGCCAAAGATTCTCCCCTATTCGCAGATCAACTCGCGAACCGCGCACGTCCACGACCTGACGGCGCACATCGTCAACATGGGCGGCTTCGCCGCGTGCGTCTCGCGGCACGAGCGCCGCTGCCTGAACGTGCTGTCGCGCTGCATCGGCAGACTCCCCTTGGAAGTGCAGCGCCAGGTCCTATCGTTCTGGTCTCCTGCCGGCGGCCGGCATTGGCCCGTGCCACGTCTGTCGGGCAACGCGTCGGACTCCTACTGAGCTTGGGGGGGTAGGGTCTAACCGACCGAAAGCAGCCTAGGACTACCCAAATGAATTCGTAAAATACAACACTCCGACCGTTACGACCCCCCGTCGTCCTCCCGGAGCACGGAGCCCGGCGGCTCGCGGCCGAACGTCGAGTAGAGGACGAGGCTCCCGGCGCAGACCGTGCGCTTGATGGACGCGTCCTTCTTCTGGAGCTTGTCGGCCATGTCGTGGAGGCCCGACACGCTCTGGCCGTCGACGGCGTAGGCGCAGCAGGGCAGGATCGCGAAGGGCTTCCGGCGGCGGATCGCGTGGTCGACGATGCTCTCCGTCGCCGCGCAGGGGCGGTAGCCGAGGAGCGCGGAGCACGTGCCGACGGCCTGGCAGTAGTCGAGGCCCAGGCCTCTTTTGAGCGTGCGCTTCTCGTCGTCGTCGTCGTCGCGGCCGCCGCGCGGCGCGTCGGGCTCCGGGTCGCCGGCCTCGAAGCGCTTCTTGTAGATGCGGTAGAGCGGGCCGCCGACTTTTTTGATGTCGTCGCGCGCCGCGGGCCGGAGCTCGTCGGGCGCCGCGGGGTCGACCTGGGGCGGCGCGACGGTGGGAAACGTCCGTTTCGGACTCGCGACGCGGGTGGGCGATTCCGCCTCGGACGGGCGAAAAACTCCGCCTCGGACGGGCGAAAAACTTCGTCTCGGACGGGCGATCGAAAGAACCGAGAAAAAGAAGACCCTGGAGCACCGACGAGGTTGCAGCGCACGCCCCGCTTCGCGAGGGCCGACGAGAGGGGCCCGCCGCCGCCGGCGACGTCGAGGCAGCCGCTCCCGCGGCAGAGCTCGTCCGCGCGGAGCACGTCCGCGAGCACGAAGTCGCAGAAGGCCACGACGCCGCTCGGCGCGTCGCCCTGGCGGCCGCCGCGGCCGTCGTCCTCGGGCGGGTGCGCGTCCGTCGTTTCGACGAGCTTCGTGCCGCGGCCCGTCGTGTCGCTGATCCAGCCGTCGACGGGCGCCGGGCAGAAGCTCCCGGGCCGCGTGCGCACGCGCAGCCGCAGCACGCCGTCGGCCGCGCGCGCCTCGCGGACGACGCTCAGCGGCGCGCGGTGCGGCAGCTTGGCGACTTTCTTCGAGTCGAGCGCGACGCCGGCGCGGACGATGCAGCCCTTCTCCGCGCAGACCTCGGCGTAGCGGTGGACGACGTGTCCGTGCTCCACGAGGTAGCTCTTCCAGCTCCCTTTGGGGACCGTCGTCGGCATCGCGAGCGCCGTCGGCGTCGCGAGCGCGAGCGTCGTCGTCTCGGCCTCGAAGGTGGCCATGCTCTCCTCAGCCAAGGGGCTGCGGTTTTAAAAGAGGCACGGTGGCCCAACTCTTGAGCAAAGAGGGCTGCTTTCACGAGAGATTAAGCAGGTGAGACTCGCGCTGGGCTGGAGATTAAGCAGGTGAGACTCACGCTGGGTTGTTCCCCAGTGGCCATTGCTCTCCGTAATGAGGTCGATGTTAACGCTCGAAACTTGTCTCTAAGCAGCCCCATCTCGTCGACCGCCTACGTCGGCGTCGCCCCATCGCCGGGCGCGCGCATGGCCGCGTGAGCTGGGGACGACCCGCGCACAGCGCCGCTGCGTCGCGCCCGTGCGAACTCGCTCGAGAACGATGCCGGACGCGCTGGAGCGTCCCCCGGCGTCGCTGCTGCCGCTGCCGTCGGACCCGAAGACCTGGCACGCGGACACGCGCGACGTCTTCCTCATCGTCGGGTCGAAGCTGACGGCCGTGAAGACGGGCGACGAGAAGGTGGCCATGAGCTTCCTCGACGACATCCGCCCCTTTGAGCGCGCGCGCATCAGCTCGGGGCTCCGGGACCTGCTCCACATGGAGATCATCCAGACGCACTACGACGTCGACGCCGACGCCTTCTCCATGTCCCAGGCCGAGCACTTCGCCGCGGCGCGGAAGGCGCACGACATCCCGAAGACCATCAACATCAACCACCTGAAGGCGCCGGGCGCGCCGCCGCGGCGGCCCGTAAAACGATGATGTTACAACGTGTCGAACTGGCACTTGGCGCCGTCGTCGAGCGGCGAGCCGCGCGGCGGCGGGGGCAGCTCGTCGGACGGCGCGCGCTGCTTGTCGGCGATCTGCGCGTCGAGCTTGTCCATGAGCGCCGCGAGGCGCGCGTGGCCGCCGAGGAGCGCGATCTCGGCGCCGATGTCGGCCTTGAGCTTCGCGAGGGCGGTCCGCGTGTAGGCGAAGGAGCCGAGGGACGCCATGTGCTCGACGGCGTGCTTCTTCACGTCCGGGTTCTCCGTGCGCTGCTTGAGGATGTTCAGCAGCCGCGTGTCGCCCGGCGCCGCGTGGACCGCGTGGAGGATCGGGAAGCTGAACTTGCCCTCCGTCAGGTCCTCGCAGTAGGACTTGGACCGCATGTAGTCGTCGGACCGCAGGTTCACGAGGTCGTCGCGGATCTGGAAGTAGAGCGCGAGCAGGTCGACCAGCTTCCGGAACTCGCCCTTGCGCCGGTCGCTGAAGGCGGCCATCATGCCCACGGCGAGGCGGAAGAGGCCCCCCGTCTTGTCCAGCACCATCGTCGTGTACTCGGCCTCCGTCGGGCACCGGCACGAGTCGCGCCACAGGATGTCCTGGCCCTGGCCGCGGTGCAAGTTGAGCAGCTCCTCGACGAAGACCGCGAGCGCCTCGCCGTTGTCGAGCCGGTGGCACTCCTCGAGGGCGATGAAGTAGACGTAGTTCGCCGTGTTCAGCGTCGACGGCACGCCGAAGATCGCGTGCGCGACGGGCTTGCCCCGGCGGAGCTGCGACCCGTCCTCGATGTCGTCGACGAGCAGGCTCGCGTTGTGGAGCCGCGACACGATGCGCTTGATGGCCTCGACGCGGTCGCCGGGGATGCCCAGCCACATGTTGAAGGCGTCGATGAGCGACCCGCGCACGTTCTTGCCCGGGTTCTCGCTGATGTAGTTAAAGGGCTCGAGCAGCGCCTCGTCGACGTCGTGGTTCACGGCCATGGTCCGCTTTCGCCGTGCTGTCAAGCGCGAGGACGCCGTTCACGTCGACGCGCCGCGCGGCGTGCGCTGCTCGAGCACCACGTGCGACGCCGTTCGGCGACGCGCTCGAGCACGACGTGCGACGCTGCGGCGTCGATGCGCTGCGCGCGTTCGCCACTACGCGCCACGCCCGGCGCCTTGCGTGTTTAGAGCTGTGGCAGGCAACATTACCCTTTATTGAAGTCAACTTACCATGGTGCCGTGGCTTCCGTGGCGCTTCAGCCTCGTCTTCGGGAGCTCCAGGAGCATGGCAGCCCTCCTGGACGTGGCGGCGCTGGACGTGGCGGGAGTAACAACGGTGGAGCCCGAGCAGGCTGCCCCGGAGAAGGACGTGGCGGCGCTGGACGCGGCCCTCGCGGACGCGGCCCTCGCGGCGGCGGAGCCCGAGGCTGCCCCCGTCGACGCCGACGCGGACCCCTTCGCCTTCCCGCCGCTCGACGAGGAGGAGCGGCCGTTCCTCACGGACGCGCTCGTCGCCTGCCACGACTCCTGCGGAGCCTCGAAGGACGAGCTCGACGCGCGCGAGGCGTCCTGGGGCGCGGAGGCGCCCATCTACGAGACCTCGTACGGCGACGGCTGCGAGCTCGAGGTCCACTTCCGCCAACTGGAGGACCGGGCCATCGAGTTCAAGTTCCGCTGCGCGCTGCCGGCGTCGCCCCGCAACGTCCTCGCGCTGGCCAAGGAGGCGGACCTCGCGCCGCGGTGGAACTCGTGGGTCGCGTCCGCCGCGAGCCTGTCGGACCGCGCCGCCGGCCCGAGGAACTTCCAGCTCCGGCGCCAGATCGCCATCAACTTCCCCTACCCGCTGCCCCAGCCCGCGCTCACCGTGCGCCTGAGCTTCCACGAGGACCTCGAAAACTCGGGGCACGTCGTCGCCTGCGTGCTCAACGAGCCGTCGAAGCTCGGGCCCGTGGCGCTGGGCTGGGCCGCGGTCAACGGCTTCGCGCGCGGCGCGCCCGTGGCGGCGGACCGGTCCTCCTGGACCGTGGCGCAGCGCGTCAACGTGCCCGGCTTCTTCCCCATGTGGCTCGTGACCTTCTTCGGGCGCTTCGTCGTGCGCATCTTCGCGCCGCGCATCTTCGAGATCGTGAAAAAGACCGCGCCGACCGTCGACGTCGAGGGCTCCCTCTTCCACGACCGGCTCGAGGCGGACGTCGACGGCTTCTACGACGGCCTCCTCGCGCCCGCGAAGCTCGAGGCGGTCGTGGAGCGCGCGCTCGCCGCCGACGAGCGCGAGGCCGCGGACGACGCGGCCGACGGCGGCGCGACGGGCGACGACGGCGCGACGGGCGCCGCGGACGACGACGAGGCCGCGGCGGACGACGCCGCGGCCGCGACGGACGACGAAAGCACCGAGCCCGAAGCCGCAACCTAGCCTGTAAACCTGCATGTTACAACGCCGCGGGCCGCGCCTTGACCGCGAGGAGCGAGGTCACGTCCTTCGCGGCCCAGTCCGGGTGGACGGACCCCTCCGGGTCGCGCGTCGCGGGCCCCGTGTTCGTGCCGTTCGTGCGCAGGCAGAGGCGCACGCGCCGGCGGTGGAGCTCGAGGATGTAGTAGTAGAGCTCGACGTCGCGCTTGTTCGTCTCGTGGAGGAGGTCGAGGTTGTGGGGGCTCAGCGGGCCCGACTTGACCTGCTTGTTGAGGAGCGCCTGGAGCTTCATCGCGTTCGACTTCTCGCTGTGGAGCGCGGGGAAGTCGGCCTCGTCGGGCGTGTGGTCCGGGTCGCCCTCGAAGAAGTCCGGCAGCAGCAAGCGGAAGAGCTGGGCCGTGTTCGGCAGGTCCTCGAGCACGCCGACGTGCGCGTAGGCGTCGCGCACGTGCCGCTTCGCGACGTCGAGCGCCTTCCCCGGGTCCCGCTCGTCGCGGCACTCGGGCCCGTGGCCGCAGAACCAGCGCGTCATGTAGTCGTTGCACTCGTCCAACAGCAGCGCCATGGACTGGTTGTAGGACAGGCGCTGGAACTTCTTCCACTCCTTGGCGTTCGCGCGCTTCGAGGGCACGGGGTAGTCCTGGTAGACGTGCTGCTCGCCCGTCGACACGCGCCAGCCCCGGATGTCGCAGCGGCCGCCGTCCAAGCACTCGTCGAAGTCCACGGGCGGCAGCCGCTTCTTGTAGAAGGCCTCGTAGTTGTATCTGGAAATACAGCGGTCGATGGGGTCGCGCGCGATGTTGATGAGCTCCACGCCCTCCTCGTGGGCGTGCCGCACGTCCGTGTAGTAGACGTGGCGCTGCGTCACGAAGCGCCCCAACGCGCCGTACTCCCGGATGGAGTCGACGTACTCGCGCTCCGCGGCGCCGTCGAGCCAGCGATGCTTCGCGATGTGCGGCGTCCACCACGTCACGTTCGTCACGTCCATGCCGTGCTTGAACTTGGCCGTCTCGTTGAGCTGGCCGCTCATCCAGGACATGATGGACGCGCTGCCGCTCTTGGGGATGCGGTTGTAGAGCACGCCGCGCGGCCGCCGCGGCGCGCACTCGGGGTGCCATTTGGGCACGAGCTTCGCCTCGTAGGCCCGCTTGAGCGCGAGGCGCTGGCTGCGCGGGAGCGACTTGCGCGGGCCCGGCGGCTTCGGGGGCGTCGTCGACGCCTGCTTCGTCGTGTTGAGGTACGCGGCGACGCGCTGCTTGTAGAGCCGGAGCCGCGCGCCGCGCGCCGCGGGCTGCCGCTCGGCCGCGTCCGCCGGCGGCGCGAGGCCCGTCAGCCGCTCGCGGTCCGCGAGGGAGAAGGAGCCGCGCTGGAGCGGCGACGCGCTGCCGACGGCGGGGCAGGGCGCGGCGTCGCCGTCCGCGCGCTTCTTCTTCCGCTCCGCGAGCGCGGACGCGCCGGGCAGCCCCCGGGTCCGCGGGCAGGCGCTCCAGGCCTCGAGGAAGTTGCAGACCGCCGTCCAGACGCGGTAGGCGGACGATTCGAGGGGGTCCTTGAGCACGAGCAGGCGGTGGCGCTCGTCGCGGCCTTGGAAAAACGCCTCGACGGCCGCGTTCCGCCGCTCGTAGGCGGCGACGAAGCGCGCCGCGCGCGACGCGGGCGCGCGCCCCTCGTCGCGCAGCTGGCCGAAGAGGCCGCCCCAGGCGTGGGCGGGGACGCTCGCCGCCGCGGCGGCGCCGTCGTCGTCCCAGGTCACACCGAGCGTCGCCGCGTAGCGCTCCTTTTGGAGCCGCGGCGCGCACCGCAGCATGTCGTCGACGTCGGCCCACCAGTCCGCGCCGTCGCGCACGGTCAGCACGAACTTGGCGCGGGGGTAGGCCGTCGCGAGCGTCGCGTAGAGGTCCCCGTCGTTCCAGGGCGCGTCGTAGAACGTCCGGTAGCGGCCCGCGGTCTCGACGGCGACGGCGTACCGCTCCGCGCCGCGCCCCAGCGCGACGGCGTCGGCGGCGCGGAGCCGCGACGCGACGTCGCACTTGGGCTCGAGCTTCAACGCGTCGAGCATCATGGCGACGGACGTGATGCCCGTCCGTTTCGCGCCGACGACGAACGTCTTGAACGATAAATCGTGCTTCTGCGGCTTGTGCACGAGGGCGCAGCCCGCGTCGCAGGACACGATGGGCGAGATCTTGTTCCGGCAGAAGGTCGTCGGGCTCATGTCCGCGTGGCGCAGCGGGTCCGGCGAGCCGAGCGCGGCCTTTTTCAACGCGACGGTCAGCGCGGGCTGGTCGCGCGCCTCGCCGCTCCGCTGGTTCAGCCCCAGGAACGCCTCGAGGTAGTAGGTCAGGAGCTGCGCCGTCCGCGGCGACGTCGAATCCAAAACGACGCAGGCGCTGTTGTGCTCGAGGCGCAGGTGGAGGTCCGGCGCGAGCTCCGCTTGGCCGTCGAACTTGTTCGTCAGCGCGACGTCCGCGTCGCCGGCCACGAGGGGGAACAAAAAGTCGACGAACCGCGCCATGCAGGGCCGCGCGTCGAAGTCCAGGAAGATCGTCGTCTCGAAGGGCGACGTGACCATCGCGTGGATCTTCACGATCTTCGCGCGCGCCTTCAGCGGCAACTTCTCGGGCACGCCCGCGACGCGCCAGTCCTCGTAGAGCAGGATGCGGTCGAAGAAGGCGTCCAGCGCCGACGTCTCCTTCGTCGCCAGCGTCGCGACCAGCGACCGCTCCGTGAAGAGCGCGAAGCCGCACGGGCGGGTCGCGGACGCGCCCGGCCCGCGCGCGTCGCCGACGCGGAGCTCGCGCCGCAGGTACTCGACGGTGGGCAGCACCTCGCGCTGCACGAACTCGCGCTCGCCCGCGGCGCTGTAGACGACGCCGGACCCGCTGCGGCTCACGGGCCGCGCCGTGAAGCGCCGCGTGCCCAGCGACGCGTAGACGGCGTCGGCGTCGTGGTCCCACGACGTCTCGATCTCCACGTCCTGCGCCGACATGACCGCTGCGGTGCACGCGCGCGAAATGCAGAGCAGCGCGATGGCCGCGCGCCCGCGCATGGCGCGCATGGCACTCAAAATTTATTGAGTCTGATCGACGATTGCGGTCGACCGCCGCGGCATCGACCGCACCAAACATCAGCGAGCGCAAACCTCCACAAGTAGCACCCCGCTAGGTCGACGGGGGGTGGTTCGACGCGTTCCTGCCGACCTCCGACCCCGAACTTTTTACGTCTTATGCCAGAATCACGTGTTTTCTTTCGTTTCCAATACTCCTAGCGTGCGAAAACACTCTTTTTAAGTGACATTTTGCTCCATGACTTTTGGACGCGCGCGCGTGGTCGGCGCACGCGCCAAGCGTCGCCAATCGCGTGCTGGACGCGTCGATAGACGCCCATGGACCCCCTCTCCAAGGGGAGCACACGCTTGCAACAGGAGGCTAGCCCGTTCGCGAGAACCGCTGCAAGGCGTGCCGGGAAAAAAATTCTCAAAAAAAATATTGAAATCACCTAGTAAGGCTAAGTGGCCGTTGAAATAATTGATCACCCATCCCTCGCCATCCCTGGAACCGATGACCGCAAGGGATACCATTTCGAGATCGCCTGGACCTCAGGAGCGTGTAGATATATTCACTTTGCCGCCCCCCGGATCAGATCCGATAATAAATTCGGTCAAATCTAACGTGCACTAGTTAAGCTATCAGTACGACCTTACGGGGTGCTACCACAAGGCGCTCGCGACCTTGCCGTCCGCGATGGTGCGGAGAATTTGCGCCTTTCTGTGCGGCGTCGCAGCCTTCCAGCACCCGCAGCACCGCGGCTATGCGCGCCGCACCATCGTAGTCAAAAACGGCGACGCGCTCGTCGAGTGCGCGCTCGTCCCCGGCGCCGCGGCGAAGGTCGAGGGCTGGCTCGACGGCTGGAGCGCGTCGCCCCTGAGCGACCCGCAGTTCCCCGTCACCGTCGACGCGAGCACCCCGACGATCCGCGTGCGCTACGTGGCCATGCCCGACAACGGCGTCGACGTCGCCTACCGGCCCGCGGGCAGCGACTCGCCGTTCGGCGCGGTCGTCGTCGAGCGCGTCGGCCCGCCGGCCGCGGCGTCCATCAAGGAGCTCGTGCGCGGCGCCGAGGCGCGCGTGGCGAGCTCGCTGCGCGAGGGCCTCGCGGCGGCGTCGCTGTCCGCCGTGGCGACGGCCGCGGCGCCCGAGGTGCTCGTCGGCGAGGAGCCGCGGCGGCGGGCGCTCGACCCGAAGCTCTACGACGGCTCCTACGGCGAGGACTTCGAGGCCGAGGTGCTCGACCTCTTCGACGCCGGCGAAGCCGAGGCGGGCCCGGCGGACGCCACGGTCCAGGCCATGTTCGCCGCGGGCGAGGCGCTCGCGCGCGCCGCGGCGGGCGACGCCGGCGGCGCGTCCGAGGCCGCACTCCTCGAGGACGGGCTCGTGGACGTCGAGCAGGCCCAGTTCGACGTCGCGCTCGGGAATGGTCTCAAGGGCGGCGTCGACATCCTCGCGGCGCCCCAGGCCGTCCGCGGCGCCGCGTCCGCGGCCGTCGCGGCGGCCGGGGCGGCGCCGGCGGAGGCGGCGCCGGCCGAGGCGTCGCCGCTCATCGCGGCGCGCTTCGACGTGCTGCTGCGCGAGGTCATGGGCGCCGCGGACGCGAGCGTCGCGCACCTCGTCGCCGACGCGTACCGCGACGTGCTCCTCGACGCGTCGTTTCCGGCGCTCGCGCGCGCGGCGCTCCGCGCGTGCGACAGCGACGAGGCGGCGGCGAGGACGGCGGCGGCGCTGGACACGCTGAACGGCAAGGTCATCGACCTCGTCACGCAGCTCGCGGAGATGGCCGCCTTCGCGGAGAAGAACCATCTGGAGACGATCCGCCTGCTCTGCGACTCGGCCAAGTCCGCCGGCGACGCGGGCCTGCGGGACGCGGCGCGCAAGTTCCGCCACCGCCTCGACGAGGACTTTGTGGCCTACCTCAAGCACGCCATCGCCGTCGAGGCGGCGAAGCTGAGGGACCGGGGCGTCGCGGATCCTGCGAACGCGCCCTCCGAATGGCTCGCGGTGCTCGACGGCGTGCGCACCGCGGCCTACGCGGAGCTCGCCAAGGACGTCCACGCGGACGTCGACGTCATCAAGAACGTGCTCGCCATCAAGGACCCGGCCGCGCGGCGCGAATGTCTGCGGCTCAACGTCGAGGGCATCGCGGGCCAGCCCGACCGCGTCCGCGCGTTCCGCAAGACGGCCAACAACATCTTCGACAACCTCCTCGACTCGAACCCGGACGTGGCGCCGGGCGCGGAGCTCGTCGCGGCGCTGGCCCAGCTCCGCGCGGACCTCCTCGAGTTCAGCCCGGGCGTCGCCGACGACGCGCCGGGCCAGTACCTCGTCGACGACGCGGACCGCGCGCCCAAGGAGCTCGAGGCGGCGGCGGAGTAACAACAGGCGGCGGTTGTTGTGGCTCGAGGCGGGCTTGGGAGTGCCGGAGGCTGGGTATTTTGGGACCCCCGCCGCCTTCAGCGCGTCTTATTGAACAGAACTTGCACTTTTTTCTACGAGCGCATCGGTGGCCCACGACATCTCCGAAAGTCGACTCCTGTGCTCGCAACTAGCAAACACGATGGACAAGTGGTTCCCGCAATTGAAGCAGACGAAGTGCGGCGCCGACGCGCGCCTGCGCCTCGTGACCTTTCCCAACTCCGGCAGCGCCGAGAACGTGTACACGGGCGCCGACAAGACGGCCTTCGGCGGCGCGTCGGGCCGCCGCGACAACGAGCTCATGGTCTGGGCGAAGAAGACGAAGGTCGAGGTCTACGCGGCGCAGCCGCCGGGCCGCGACACGCGCATGCGCGAGGAGTGCCTGCCGTCCGCGGCGGCGATCGCGTCCGCGGCGTTCGACGTCTGCGAGAAGGACCTCTTCAAGGGCGGCGTGCCCTGGGCCATCTTCGCCCACTCCATGGGCACCTGGGTCGCCTACGAGTTCTGCCTCCTCGCGCGCGCCAAGGGCCACCCGGCGCCCACGGTCCTCGTCGCGTCCGGCTTCCCGTCGCCGACGTGCCCCATGGACAAGCGGCCCTGGGCCGTGTCCAAGGGCATGAGCGACGACGAGTTCAAGGACGAGGCCCGCGGCTGGTCCATCAACGAGGTCGTCTTCTCCGAGGGCATGTGGAAGATGTAGCGAGCGCGGCGTCTTCCGACCGCGCCGTTCCCGCGCCGACGACCGCCGCCGCCGCCGCAGGTACAAGACGCTGCTCATGGTCGACTTCTCCTGCTTCGACGCCTACCCGGAGCGCGTCTCCCCGCGTCCGGCGACTTTTTTTCCGTCCGCGCGCGGCCGTCGTCGTTCGCCGCGCCGCGCGACGACCGGTCGCGGCCGCGCGCAGGTGGACGGGCAAGAACGCGCCCCTCGACTGCCCCGTGCGCACGTTCTACGGCAGCGACGACAAGCGCGCGACGAAGGAGCTCGCGCGCTCGCGGCGTCCCGCAACCGTCGCGGCGCGCGACTTCATTCATTTCGGCAACAAGGATTCAACCCAGGAATTGAGAAAAAGTGGCCTTTCGATTCAGTGGCCACGCACAACTCGCCATCGGCCGCCGACGCCGACGTTTTCGGACTTCTAGGTCTCGGCCTGGAGCGAGGTCACGAGCGACTGCAGCGTCAACGCCCCCATCAAGGGCCACCACCTCTTCGTCTACGACGAGCCCGCGCGCGCGACCTGGTTCAAGGCCGTCATCGGCGACATCGAGTCCTTCCAGCCCATGGCGCCCCTCAAGTCCTACCTCTGCACGGCCAAGAAGGGCGCGGCGGTCCGCGCGGGCTGCGAGCTGAGCACGGCCCAGGTCCAGCCCGAGATCGACAACGGCTGGCTCGTCGACGTCAGCGAGGAGCAGGAGAACTCCAAGGGCACGGTGCGCCTCCACATCGTCGCGTACACCAAGGCCGACGGCGCGAAGACGGCCTGCGACTGCTGGGGCTCGAAGAAGCTCTTCGAGTTCAAGGGCACGGTCGAGGCCGCGCCCGCCGCCGCGCCGCCCGCGCCGGCCGCCGCGGCCGCGGAGCCGCCGAAGGCGCCCGCGCCGGAGACGCCCGCGGCGACGGCGCCGGCCGCGGACGCGGTCACGGCCTTCGCCGGCACGACGGCGACCATGCACACGGTGACGGGCAAGAACGGCGCCATGATGCGCGCGGGCTGCGAGCTCGACACGCCCGAGCTCGGCGTCACGCTCGAGCAGGGCACGGAGTGCTACGTCGTCGAGGAGGCGAAGAACGCCAAGGGCTCGCTGCGGTCGCGCATCGTCTGCTACACGGCCAACGGCTCGCCCTACGCGGCCATCGACGGCTGGTGCACGGCCAAGTTCCTCACGGTCGTCGACAAGACCAAGGTGCCCATCCCCGAGGCGGGCAGTAAGCCCTTCGCCGCCGTCTTCGCGCGGCCGACGGACTCGGGCAACGTCATGCTCTTCCCGGGCCAGGGCGCCCAGAAGGTGGGCATGCTCGCGCCCTACGCGGACACGCCGGGCGTCAAGGCCATGTTCAAGGAGGCGTCGAAGATCTTCGGCTGCGACCTGCTCGAGCTCGTCGAGAAGGGCCCCGTCGAGAAGCTCAACGACACGCGCTTCTCCCAGGTCTGCGTCTTCCTCACGTCCATGGCCGCCGTGAAGAAGCTCCAGCGCGAGGACCCCAAGGCCGTGAACAAGTGCGCCGCGACCGCGGGCTTCTCGCTCGGCGAGTACAGCGCGCTCACGTTCGCGGGCGTCATGGAGCTCGACACCGCGCTCACGCTGCTGAAGATCCGCGGCGACGCCATGGGCGCGGCCTGCGACCTCGCGCCGTCGGGCATGATGACCGTCGTCGGCTTGGACGACGACGCGCTCAAGAAGATGATGCCGGAAGGCGTGTCCATCGCGAACCAGCTCTTCCCGAAAGGCCGCGTGCTCAGCGGCTCCAAGGAGGGGCTGGCCAAGGTCGAGGCCGAGGTCAAGGCCGCGGGCATCGCCGGGTCCAAGACCATCGTCCAGCCCGTGTCCGGCGCGTTCCACTCGCCCTACATGTCGACGGCCGCGGACAAGCTCAAGGAGGCGCTCTCCACCGCGCGCCTCGCGGCGCCCGCGCGCGTCGTCTACTCCAACGTCACGGCCAAGCCCCACGACAAGGACGTCGAGTCCATCAAGGCGAAGATGTGCGAGCAGCTCATGGCCGGCGTGTTATGGGAGGACACGATCAACGACATGGCGAAGCGGTTCCCGGACGTCGACAACTTCTACGAGCCCGCGCCGGGCCGCCAGCTCACGTCCATGATGCGAAGGATCGAGCCCAAGAACCAGCCCAAGATGAAGAACGTCTAGGGTTCTGCTCCCCCGTTTTGCGCGCCCCCGGCGACGCGCGAGCCGCCGCGGGACCACCATTCCCGCGCGCCGCGCGCGCCCCCGACTAACGCACGCGTTAGCTCCCGTGACTCTTGACGCACGCGTTAGCTCCCGTGGCTCTCGTCGTCGCCGGACCCGTCGAGGTCGAGCTCCGGCTCGTCGGGGAACGGGTCCACGCCGGCCTCCTTCCTCCGGAAGAAGGAGCGGCGCGGCTTTTCGTCGAGCGTCGCCTGGAGATCGACGATGCGCGCGGTGCGGTCCTTCGACCCCGTGACGATCCGATCGGCGGAGAACGCCGCCGCGTTGACCTCGGCGCGGTGCTTCGCGCACGTCCGGCGCAGCGCGCCGCTCTCCGCGTCCCAGAGCCGCAGCGTCCGGTCCTCGGAGCCCGTCAAGATCACGGCGCCGTCGCCGGAGTAGGCGACGCTCGACACGTCGCCGAGGTGGCCGGCCAGCGTGAGGAGCGCGGCGCCCGTCGCGACGTCCCAGACCCGGGCCGTCCTGTCCTCGGAGCCGGAGACGACCCTGGCGCCGCGGGGAGCAAACGCGACGGCGTAGACGCAGGACCCGTGGCCCGTCAGCGTCCGGATCGCCGCGCCCGCGGCGTCCCAGAGCCGCACCGTCGCGTCGTGGCCCGCCGTCGCGATGGCGGCTTCGTCGGGCGCGAAGCGGACGTCGTAGACCGCGCCCGCGTGGCCCTCGAGCCGCGTCGGCGGCGCCGCGGGCGCCGCGAGGTCGAAGATGCGCGCCACGCCGTCGGTGCAGCCCGTGAGCACGCGCCGGTCGTCCTTGGAGAAGACGGCGGCGCGCACGGCCGCGGGGTGCTCGAGCTCGACGGCCGTCTCGCCCGACGCGGCGTCCCAGACGCGCGCCGCGGCGTCGCCGCCGCCGGTGACGACGCGGCCGCCGTCGCCGGAGAAGGCGCAGCTCAGGACGGACTCGCCGTGGCCCGAGAGCGTGATCTTCAGCGCGCCGGACGCCGCGTCGTAGAGCCGCGCCGTGCAGTCCTTGCTGCCCGTGGCGACGACCTCGCCGGACGCGGAGAAGGCGACGGCGAGGATCGGGCCGGAGTGGCCGACGAGGCTCACCTCGGACGACGCCTCGGAGCTCGCACCGCCGCCCATACTCAAGTTTCGGGGCTGCCCATCGTCGTCAAGGTCCGCCTCGGGCACTGCAATGGCATTTCGGAGTAGTTTCAAGTGAATTTTATCGGAGGTGACGAGCCGAGCATGGATACCGAGGGCAACAAAATTTAACTGTTCGGTGCCCGACCGCAAGGCGAGGCTGCCCCCGGTGAAAAGCCGCCCTTTCCGAGCCCCCCGGGGGGCGATGCGGCGCTAGGCTCGGGCGGGCGCCGTCTCTCTCCACCGCCCCCGGTGCGGGCGCCGCGGACCCCGAAGGCGCCGGCGCCGCGGACCCCGCGGGCGCCCGGCGCTCCCGTTTCCGCGCCATGGGCTTCGACAGAGTGAACGCGACCCTGGAGGAGTGCGCCGCCGTGTGCCTCGGCTTCACGTGCGACATGTACACGAAGGAGAGCTGCAGCCTCGTCCAGAACGAGTACGGCTGCGACTGCCCCGGGTGCCACTGCGACGCGGACCTCGTCTACAGCGACATGCGACGGGGGCTCCGAAGTAACTACACCTACTACGACGACGACGGCGAGGCCGAGGAGGAGCTCATCATGGTGCTCTGCCTCATCGTCTTCGGCACGATCCTCGCCATCGGCCTGACCTACATCGCCATGCTCACCTATCGGAACTACTACTACCCGCCGCTGCCTCCCAAACAGCACCTGGACCCCCAGGTCGTCGAGTTCGAGCTCGTGGAGAAGGGCGAAGAGGTCAAGGAGACGGACGACCCCTACTAGCGGCGGCCGGAGGCTCCGGCGCCGGCGCGAGCCGCGGCGCCGGGGCCCGTCCGCCGCTCGGCGGGGCGCGCGCGGGACGGCGCGCCGCGCGGAGTCGTCCTAACCCCGAGTTCCTGTGCACCACGGTTTGAGAGGCGCCAACGCACGATGCGAGAGGGCTTTTTACGACGGCGCGCCGCGCCCGGCCCTAGAAGCCGAGGCCCTTCATGCCGCCCTCGCCCTCGAGCTTGGACATCTCCTGCATCATGGACATGAGGTTCTGGGCGCCGCCCATCTGCTGGAGCATGCGCGGGTCCATGGCCTTGTGGAGCTGCTGCATGACCTGGTTCGGGTTCCGCTGCATCTGCTTGGCCATGGCCGCGTCGCCGCCCTTCATGAGGCCCGACTTGCCCATCTTGGACACGACGCTCTCGAACTGCTTGTGGCACTTGAGGAGCATCTGGACCTCCATGGGGTGGCAGCCCGAGCCGCGCGCGACGCGCTCGATGCGCGAGGCCGACTTGTTCAGGTCGACCTTGGCGTCGAGCTCGTCGTCCGTCATGGAGTCCATCATGTACATGAAGCGCTTGAGGCGGTTGTTCGACTCGTCGCCCTCGCCGCCCATCATGGAGGGGATGCCCGGGATCATGGCCATGACCTTCGACAGGGGCCCGAGCTTCATGACGTTCTCGAACTGCTCGTACATGTCGCGGAGCGTGAACTGGCCCTTGCTAAACTTCTCCATGAGCTCGGGCTGCTTGTCGTCGCCGATCGTGTCCTTGATCTGCTCCACGAGCCCCCGCATGTCGCCCATGCCCAGCAGCCGGCTCACGAAGGAGTGCGCGTTGAAGGGCTCGAAGTCGTCGAAGTGCTCGCCCGACCCGAGGAAGAGGATGGGCGCGCCCGTCGCCGCCACGGCGCTCAGCGCGCCGCCGCCCTTGGCGTGGCCGTCGAGCTTCGTGATGACGACGGAGCCGATGTCGATGGCCTCGTGGAAGCTGCTCGCCTGCTCGTGGACGGCCTGGCCCTGCGTCGCGTCGAGCACGAAGATGACGTTCTGGGGCTCGATGGCCGCGCGGATCTCCTGCATCTCCTCGAAGAGGGCCGTCTCCTGCTTGTGGCGGCCCGACGTGTCCACGATGATCACCTCGTACTTCTCGGCCTTGAACTGGTCGACGCCCTCTTGCGCGATGCGCACGGGGTCGGCCTCCGTGTAGGACCCGTAGAAGGGGCAGCGCAGCTTCGTCGCGTTCTGCCGGAGCTGGTCGTAGGCGCCCGCGCGGAACGTGTCCGCGCAGACCATGCAGCACTTGAAGCCCTTGCGGAGGTAGTGGTTCGCGAATTTCGCGATCGTCGTCGTCTTGCCCGCGCCCTGGAGGCCGACGAACATGATGACGTTCGGCGACCCCTTCTTCATCTCGTGGGCCTTGACGCCGGGGTCGAGCATGCCCGCGAGCTCCTCGACGACGGCCTTCTGGATCATCTTCCGCCGGTTCGTGCCCGCGGACTCCTCCTCGAGGTTCGCGCGCGTCTTGATGGCCTTGCGCAGCTCCATGACGACGCGCACGTTCACGTCCGCCTCCAGCAGGGCCGCGGCGATGTCCTTGAGCATCTTGTCCAGCACCTCCTCGCTGATGACCGTCACGCTCTGCATCTTGTGCAGCGCCGCCGTCAGCTTCGACCCCAGCTCCTGGAGCACCATGGCGGTCGCGGGCGCGCGCCGGCGCGGTCACGGGCGAGGAGCGCTGCGACCACTAACGTGCGGGGGCGCCGAGCGGCGGCGGCGGGGCGGCTCGGTCGGCGCGACGCGCAGTCTATGCTCGCTCGACGCGCGGCTCAACAACCCGCTTGGTGCCGTCCTCGCCGACCTCGGCGCTTGCGGCAAGAGCGCCAGCCGCGGTGCCAGACGCGCGACTCGCGGCGTCGCAGCGAGCGACAGCAACGCCAGCAACAACGCTCGCATGAAGCGCCAGCGCGAGCCCGACGCGCGGCCCGGCGGCTTCGCCATGCCGCGGCCGCGGCCCGCCGCCGCGGGCAGCACCGACGCCTTGGCCGCACCTCCCGAGGACCTGGCGTGCCCCTGCTGCTTCCGGCCCGGGCGGCTCTGCGAGAGCTTCGCACCGGAAGAAGCGCAGATGAAGCTGGAAGGGCTGCGCGTGCTCATGGTGTCGCACGGCCTGGACGCGTACGTCGTCCCGAGCGGCGACGCGCACTCGAGCGAATACGTCGCCGCCTGCGACGAGCGGCGCGCGTGGCTCACGGGCTTCACGGGGTCCGCCGGCACGGCGCTCGTCGCGCGGAAGGCCGCGCTGCTGTGGACCGACGGTCGCTACTTCAACCAGGCCGCGACGCAGCTCGCCGGGTCGCCGTGGACGCTCATGCGGACGCACGAGCCCGGCGTGCCCGACCTGCCGACCTGGCTTTTGGAGAACTGCGCCCCGGGCGCCAAGGTCGGCGTCGACGCCGCGCTCGCGCCGCTGGGCTTCGCGGCGGACTTCGCCGCGAAGACCGCGGGCGAGCTCGAGCTCGCGCCCGTGACCTCCGCGAACTTCGTCGACCTGATCTGGGGCCGGCGGCGGCCGGCCGTGCCGCGCCATCCCATCTACGCGCAGCCCCTGGCGCGCACGGGCGAGACCGTCGCGAGCAAGATCGCGCGCGTCGCGGCCGCGTTGGGCGACGCGAAGGCCCTCTGCCTCAACGCGCTGGACCAGATCTGCTGGCTCACGAACTTAAGGGGCTCCGACATCGCCTGCAACCCCGTCTTCTTCGCCTACGCGGTCCTGTCCCTGCGCGACGGCGTCGCGCTGACCCTCTACCTCCGGCGCCTCGACGGCGACGCCGGCGACGCGGGCGCGCTCCGGCGCCACTTCGAGGAGGCCGAGGGCTGCGGCGGCGCCGGCGGGCCGCGCGTGATCCTGCGGCCCTACGCGGCCTTCGGCCCCGAGGCGTGCCTCGCGGACTGCGGCGGGGCCGGCGCCGTGGTCCTCGAGCGGTCGACCGCGACGCTCGCGATGGCCTCGGCGCTGGACCCGTCGCGGCTCCGCCGCGTCGCCGCGTCGCCCGTCGAGACCTTCAAGGCCTCGAAGAACGCCGTCGAGATCGCGGGCCTGCGGTCCGCGGGCGCGCGCGACTGCGCGGCGCTCGCGGGGTTCTTCGCGTGGCTCGAAAACCGGCTCGACCGCGGCGAGCCGGTGAACGAGGCCGAGGCCGCGGACGAGATCTCGCGGCGCCGCGCGGCCTTCGCCGGCGAGCTCTACAAGGGCGACTCCTTCCCGACGATTTCGTCCGCGGGCGCGAACGCGTCCGTGATCCACTACCAGCCGTCGCACGAACACTGCGCGCCCGTCGCCAAGGACGCCGTCTACCTCTGCGACACGGGCGCCCAGTACGCCGACGGCACGACGGACATCACGCGGACGACGCACCACGGGACGCCGACGGCCGAGGAGAAGCGGTGCTACACGCGCGTGCTCCAGGGCCACGTCGCCATGGCGTCCGCGGTCTTCCCCGAGGGCACGCCGGGCTTGATGCTCGACGCCCTGGCGCGCGGCCCGCTCTGGAAGGACGGGCTCAACTACCTCCACGGCACGGGCCACGGCATGGGCTCGCTGCTGAACGTCCACGAGGGGCCCTTCGGCGTCGGGGGGGGCGCCGTCGGCGCGGACAAGGGCCTCGCGTCCGCGAACGCGCGGCAGAAGTACCTCCACGAGATCCGCGAGGGCTACTACGTCTCCGACGAGCCGGGCTTCTACAAGGACGGCGCCTTCGGGTTCCGCATCGAGAGCGACTTGGTGTCCGTCGCCGCGGACACGCGGTTCGGCTACGGCGCGCGGAAGTGGCTCAAGTTCGACTACCTCACGCCGCTGCCCATGGCGCGGGCGCTCATCGAGGACGCGCTGCTGAGCCCCGACGAGATCTCCTGGATCGACGACTTCCACGCCAACACGTGCTGGGCCCAGATCGCGCCGATGCTCAAGGGCACGCCGGACGAGGCGCGGACGCGGGACTGGCTCTGGCGCGCGTGCCGCCCGCTCGGCGAGGCCGCGTGTCCGGACGTGCCTCATTAGGATCTTGGGATCTGGGGGGACCTAGGCGGCGGGCTTGAGAAGCTCCTGCTTCTTCGCCTGGTACTCGTCCATGGTGAGGACGCCGTCGTCGCAGAGCGCCTTCGCGTCGCGCAGCGCCTGGACGAGCGCCGGATCCATGGCCGTCTTCGGCGCGGCGGCGGGCTCGACCTTGGGCTTGACGTCCTCGGCGAGGCTCGCGAGCGCCGCGGCGGTCTCGGGCGCGGCGGCGCTCGTGCCGCCGCGCTTCGGCGTGCACTCCAGCTCGATCGTCGGCTCCGCCTTGGGCTCCACCTTGGGCTTGACCTCGGACTTGACCACGGGCTCGACCTCGGCGGGCGCCGCGTCGTCCATGGCGACGTCGACCGCGTCCTTCCGGAGCTCCGCGTCGCGCTCCTCCGCGGTCTTCGAGCCCGTGATCTCGACGTCGGCGGCGTCGGCGGGCTTCGCGGCGCCCGCCGCGAGCGCCGCGCGCGCGCTCGGGCTCAGGAGCTCGTAGCCCTCGATGGCGAAGGGCGCGACGCGCGCCATGACGAGGAGGTCCTTGAAGAAGGGCGCCACGGCCGACGGCAGGTAGTAGAGCTTCGCCTTGAGGCCCTCTCCGCTCTCGAGCTCCGCCGCGGAGCCGATGCGCGCGCAGAGGCGCACCGCGTCCTTGGGGATCTTCGCGCCGGACGCCTTGCACTTGGTGCGGTTGTCCGGCGTGGCCTCGAAGCGGAGCGCCTTCGGGAAGTACTTGGCGTGGAACCAGGCCGTGACGAGGTTGCCCCGCGCGTACGTCGGCAGGCCGCAGCGCATCTCGCCCTTGTCGATGAGCTCGCCCGAGTACTTGCACGTGGCCCGGCCGGACTTGGCGGCCTCGACGACCGGCGGGTTCGGCTCGAAGGGCTTGGCGACCTTCGGCACGGGCGCCGCGGGGTCGTAGCCGGGCACGAGCCGCTTCTTCCAGGCGACGACGAAGTTGTACAATTCCTCGACGTGGGCGAGCATGTCCGGGTCCGCGTTCGTGTTGAAGACGCCGCGGAGCGTGCCGCCGGGGCGCGTCTTGTTGATCGCGTGGTCCAGGGACAGCTTGCCGCTCTCGATCATCTGCTGGAGGATCTTGAGGTTTTCGTCGACGCTCTTCTTCTTCGCGACGCCGAGCTTGGGGTGGGCCGAGCCCTGGCCCTCGATGACGATGGCGGGGTCCATGAGTTTTGACGCTCGAGTCGTCCAACCAGAGCGGATTCGCGCAGGCTCTCGGGTCGCTTCGCGCCCAAAATCGATTGCGGCAAAAAATAGCCTATGGGACGCCTCCGCGCGTCCGGCGGGCAGTGGTATTACAGGAAGGCGCGCGCCGGCGGTTCAGGTGTCGGCCTTCTTCTCCTCGGCGCCGCCCTCGCAGAAGCAGGCCCAGAAGCTCAGGGGCCGCTTGCGCTTCGCCGCCGCGGCCGCGGCCGCGGCCTCGGAGTCCTGGGCGACGCTGCGCGGGCTCGGCGGCACGACGGGCCGGTTGAAGTCCGCCGCGACGTAGCTCCGGCGCTTCGTCACTTTCTTGGGCGTCTCGTCCGACTCCGCGTACTCGTAGAGCGCCTCGGAGATGACCTCCGCGAGGGACTTGGTCTCGGACGTCTCCGGCTGTTCGGCGTCGCGGCGCTTCGCTTCCGCCAACGGGTTCGAAGCGTCCGGCGCCTCGGCGACGACCTTCGTGAGGCTCTTGGAGAAGACGCGGCAGACGGCGCGCGTCGCGCGCGCGTCCTCGGCGTCGACGCAGTGCCAGAGGATCGTGCGGTCGTCGCCGTCGCGCGTCGCGTACAAGGCGTCGCGACCGACGAGCGCCGCAAAGGCCTCCAGGCGCCGCGCGAAGAGGCGCACGTCCTCGGCGCTCTCGAGGGGCAGGAGGCCGAAGATGCGGTCGACGAGGTCCGAGACGACGAAGTCGCGCGCGGGGCCCGTCGCGGTCGTCGTCGACACCTCGGTCCGCGGCCAGACGGCTCGCGTGCGCCGGGCCCGCGCCGCCGCGAGGCGCGCGGAGACGGCGCGCGACGCCGGCGAGACCTCCGCCGAGGCCTCCGACGGCTTCTCCGCGTCCCAGATGGCGACGTCCTCCATGGCGCTCTGGATCGCCGCGACCTCCGACGCCGTCGGCTCGATCGGGGGGGCGGACGTGAAGGAGCCGCGGATCTGGCGCGCGACGTTCTCCAGCACCAAGGCATAACCCTGCGACGTGTCGGTCGTGTTCTCCATCATGCTCGGGCGCGGCGCGGTGCGACAACTGTCGATAGGCGTCGGCCGGCGAGGCAAATTTGCACCAAACTCGATTTTCACATTTTTCACCACAAGGCCTTGGCAAGCGCCTGCGCGCGTCGGTGCGCACGTAGCGTCGACGCAGCGCTCATCGATCGATGGCCGCGCTGCCGCTCAAGGAAGGCGCGAAGCTCTTCGCGCTCTTGGCCGTCTACCTCCTCCTCCTGGCGAACTACTTCACGACGCCCGCGCCGCGGTCGCTGCGCGGCCTCGTCGTGCCCGACTTCCTCGCCGCCTGGCTCCGCGAGCGACCGCTCTGCAAGGACGTCGCCGCGCGCTGCGCCGACGGCGCCTGCGGCGACGGCGTGCCGAAGCGCTGCGCGGAAGCCGCGCGCGCCGGCGTCGGCGCCGCGAGCGGCCGCTGCTACGCCGCGCTCAGCGCCGTCGAGGCCGCGGCCGACGCGCCGCGCGCGGTCCGCGACGCGCGCGCGTGCCTGAGGAGGCGCTTCCGCGGCGCCTTCGCGCGCCAGGGCCTGCCGCCGCCGAAGCTCGCGATCCCGGCGGACTGGACGCCCGCGTAACAACACTGGACGCCCGCGTAACAACTACCGGAGCGTCTTAGCCGCCTGGTACGCGTAGAAGACGCCCGCGGCGAGCGGGAAGAAGGCGAAGGCCTGCTGCAGGACCGGCGCGTCGGCGGGCAGCTCGTCGCTGCGGGCGGCGAAGGACGCGAAGAACGCGCCGGCCAGGGCGACGTTGAACGCGAGCGACGGCAGCGTCGTGGACAGCGGCTTCGCCACGGGCGCGGCGGCCGCCTCGCGCGCGACGACGGCGGCCGCCAGGTCCGCGTCGTCGGCGTCGGCGACGAAGTTCAGAGCCACGCCGTTGAGGCAGTAGCGGCAGCCCGTCGGCCGGGGCCCGTCGTCGAAGACGTGGCCCAGGTGGCCGTCGCAGGCCGCGCAGCGCACCTCCGTCCGCGGGAGCACGAGCTTGAAGTCCGCGCGCAGCTCCACGGCGTCGCCGTCGACGGGGTCGAAGAAGGACGGCCAGCCCGTGCCGCTGTCGAATTTCGTCGCGGTCGTGAAGAGCGGCTCGCCGCACGCCTTGCAGAGGAAGGTGCCGGGATCCGTCACGTCGTTGAGCGGCGACGACCGCGGCGGCTCCGTGCCCTCCTCTCGGAGCACGTAGTAGGCGTCCTCCGACAGCGTCGCGCGCCACTCCTCGTCGGATCTCCGCTTGTCGACGGCGGCGCGCAGGCGTAGTGTGGCGTGCCGCGGCGCGGGGTTAAGGAAGCTCGAGGAGCGGACGACGAGGCTCAGGAGCAGGCAGCGCGGCAAAGCTTGGGCCATTGCCACAGGCGTCAAGGGGCTCGTTGAGGTCGGCACGACAGGCCTGGCCCTCGCCGGAGGACGCGGCGCCTCACGCTTCGCACTCGGCGCCTCGCCTGGGAGCGTACTTAAGGCGGGAAGCCCGGGCACCCCTTTGCGGGCACCCCGGCGCCCCGGAGGACGCGGCCCCCGCCCCCGGGGGCCTCGCGCATCAAATTTGCGGCGCCGCTTTCTGCGCAACCGGTTTCGGCCATGGCGGACTACGACGACCCTGACCCCGCGCTCTTCCGCAGCGGGAACGTCGTGTACGCCCAACGGCGTCTTGCGCCCCCGGCGCGGGGCGGACGGCGGGGACGCGTCGGGGGGCGGGGGCGCGCGGGGGGCGCCGAGCAGGCGCGCGGATCCGGGGACGCGCGCAGGTGGGCCAAGGTCTACGACCGGCCCTGGTGGCCGTGCGTCATGTTCAACTCATGGGCCGCCGTGCGGCGCTGGAACCTGCCCGTGCCGATGGAGGGCGTCGCCGAGCTCGGCGAGGACCAGGCACGCCGCCCCGCGTTCCGCGACCCCCGCCGGGCGCGCGCGCGCGGAACGTTCAACGATAGGCGATCGGCATCTTCCTCGACGACTACGAGTTCACGGTCTTCGACAAGCACTCGAACTCGATCCAGGACTGGGACTACATCACGCCCGAGGCGATCCTCGAGGAGCTGGGCGGCGACCCGAGCCGGAAGAACCTCAAGAAGGCGATCCGCGACGGCAAGCGGCTCGTCCGCATCTCGCGCGGCGGCGCGCGCGCCGCGCCCGACGACGAGGACCGCTACGCCGAGCCCGCGCCCCAGCGCGGCGGCTACCGCGGGAAGAAGAAGCGCGGCGGCTACCGGGGCCCGCGCGAGCCCAAGGCGAAGCCGCGGCAGAACGATTTTTTCTCGCCCCTCTTCGGCGCGACGGTGCCCGCGGGCGCCGCGCCGCCGCCCGTGCTGCCGGCGACGGCCGGCCCCCTCGCCCCGGCGAAGCGCGCGACGCGCGCCAAGTCGCCGCGCGCCGCGGACGTCGACGACGACCGCGACGGGTCGTCGCTGAGCTCGGGGTCCAAGCAGGGCGAGGTCACGCCGGCGACGTCCGAGCCCGGCGACGACGACGACGGTGGCGCCGCGCCGCGCACGAGCCGCGCGGGCCGCGTGACGCGCAAGCCCCGCAAGCTGCGCGACGACGACGACGCGGCCGCGCCGCGGAAGAAGCGCGCGAGGCCCGTGTCGCCCGCGGGCGAGGCCGCGGCGGCCGCGGCGCCGCGGCCGGCGGGCAAGCGGCCCGTGGGCCGGCCGCGGTCGGGCAAGACGAAGTTCAACGTCGGCGACTACGTCTTCGCGCCCGACGCGGCCAGGGTCGTCTGGACGGGCGGCGTCGTCGTCGGCGTCGAGACGGGCCCGCGCCGCTGCGACGACGCGATCACCATCGTCTCCGCCGGCGGCGGGACGCACGTCTTCCTCGCGGACAGCGCGCGGAAGACGTCGCCCCACGGCGGCCGCGCGCCCGTCGTCTCGCCGTCCGCGTCCGCGTCGAGCCTCCCGCCGCTCAGCGACGACGTGTCCGTGCCGCCCCTCGCGCTCGAGGCCTGAGCCCCCCCCTGCGTAAGCCGCGTTCGGGCGGAGAGTGTGTGTTAAAGGCGGGGGGGACCCGCGCGGGCCCTCGCGGGCCCCCGCGGGCGGGGGTCGGGGGTTCGGGCGCGGGGCGGCCGCGCGCGCGGGCCGCGCGCCCTAGGACTGGGCGCACTGGACGCGCTGGCCGTTGCCGCCGGCCTCGTCGTCGTCCTCCTCCTCCTCGCCCGTGGCCCCCTGGCCCTTGCCGAGCTCGTCGAGGTTGATCTCCTCGAGAATGGCGTCCTCGATCTCGTTCTCGTCGTAGGGCTCGTCGTTGAGCGCCTTGGGCAGCGCCTGCTTGAGCAGCGCGACCTGGTCCTCGCCGAGGGAGTAGTTCGGCGGGAAGATGATGGTGAAGAGCACGAAGAGGCGCCCCTTGTCGAAGGGGTTGCCGTGCTTGGGCATGCCCTCGCCGTCGACGCACATGACGTAGGGCACGCCCTGCTGGACCTCGGGGCGGACGATCTGGCCCGGCTTGGACTGGATGAGGAGCTGGCGGCCGTCGAGCTGGCGGACGACGAACTTGAAGCCGCAGAGGGCTTCCGACAGGGAGATGTCCTTCTGGATGAGGAGGTCCGCGCCCTTGCGCTTGAACGACGCGTGCTCCTTCTGCTGGAGCACGAAGACGACGTCGCCGGGCTCGGCGTTGGGCGACTCGTTGCCCATGCCGGAGAAGCGGAGCTTCGTGTTGTGGGACGCGCCCTTGTCGACGTTGACCTCGAGGACCTGGCGCTCCTTCTTCATGTTCACGCGGTAGCCGCCGCTGCCCGGCGGGCAGTCGGGGCAGCGCGTCTGGAGCTGCTGGACCATGCCCGGGCCGATCTGGCGCATCTGGACGACGACGCCCTGGCCCTTGCAGGTCGTGCACTTCTTGGGCTCGCCCTTCATCACGCTGCGCGTGATCGCGAGCTTGGCCGTCTTGCCGTTGTAGAGGTCTTCGAGGGACACCTTGAGCGGGTAGACCGTGTCCTCGGCCTTGCGCTTGCCGCCGCCGCCGCCGCGGCGCCGCCGGCCGCCGCCGAAGAAGAGGTCGAAGACGTCCATGCCGCCCTCGGGCATGTCGCCGGCCTCGAGGCCCTCGAGGCCGTACTTGTCGTACTTCTCGCGCTTCTCCTCGTCGCCGAGGACCTCGTAGGCCGCCTGGATCTTCTTGAACTCCTCGGGGTCGCCGCCCTTGTCGGGGTGCTTCTTCAGGGCCAGCTTGCGGAACGCCTTCTTGATCTCCGTCGCCGACGCCGACTTCTGGATGCCGAGCACCTGGGCGGGAAAAGGGTGCGACATTCCCAACGTCAGAGGCTCCTCTCTCGGCCGTTTTCCGCTCGTTTCGGCTGATTTTTGGACGAGCGATCATCTCTCGGAGCGCTCTCGACGCGTGGGTGCTGTTTCCGAAACGCGCGCGCGCGGAACACTCACGTTGAAGCGACGTTGAATCACCCTTGTCCCGCCCCGCCGAGCACCTCGTAGAGCGCCGTCGTGTCCGCGGGCTCGCGCTGGCGGCCCATGCCCCCCATGCCCCCGGGCATGCCGCTGTCGTCCATGCCGAACGGGATGCCTCCCGGACCACCGAAGAACATGGTCTCTTCCTCCGACGCGGTGGACGCTGCGGTACCTGAAAAGCGGGGACGCGGTGAGAGGCCGCGCTCGGGTCGGGGGGGGGCGCGTCGAGGCGATGGCCCGCGGCGAAGCGACGGCCCCGCGCGGCGCGCCGGCGGCGCGGGCCGGCGGGTCGGCGGCTCCCAGCGGCGCCCGGTCCGGTTCGAACGGCGGAGTTCCGCCGGAAGCGGGCGCGTCGCGGCCGCCGAGCGCCGCCGAGCGCCCCGCCGCGCGCGTGCCCGGCGCCAGCGCTCGCGCCCGGGCGCCGTCGGGGCGCGCGGCGGCGCTGCGGTGCCGCGACCGACGGCCCCCCGCTGGGCCCAACGCCGCCAGCAAACCACCGGGTGACGAAGCGACCCGAGCAATACCGGCGACGGCCGAACCCCGGGCGCGACGCGCGCGTGCCCCGAAAGCGCGTAGGCGACGCCGGGTGCGCGCCTATTTAGTCCGCGTGACGGCGGTTGCGCTAGGCGAGTTCGACCCGCTTCGACGTCGAGTCGCCGGTCGAGGAGCTAGCCACGCAGTAGGCCAGTGAGCGCTTCGCCAATAACTACGGCTCATAGATTCATAGTGCCGCAATGGTGCACGCGAAGTGAAATCAAGTTAACAACGCACGCCGGCGGTCAGCCGCTGCCTGCAAGATGGGGCAGTGGGTCCGGGCGGATCTCCGCCCGGCGACCGGCACCCGCGGCGATGCCTACGCCTCCCCGTCGCCCGTGCCCGTCTACGTGTGCCACGACGAGGACGAGGCCTTGGGCTGCTTCCGGGCAGCCCCGGAGCTCGCCTGCGCCGTCTGCGCCGTGCCGCAGCCCGCGCAGACGCGGCGCCTGCTCAAGCGGCGGCGCGGCCGCCGCGCGCACGTGCTCGTCCTCTTCCGGCAGCCCGACGGGTCCGTGGGCTTCGACGCGCTGCGGTCCGTCGCCGTCGCGGTCGTCGGCGACGGCGCCGGCGTCGCGTGCGAGGCGTCGGCGCGGGACGCCGGGGCGCTCGCCGCCGCCGTCGAGGCGCTGGAGCACCGGCGGGAGGAGACGCAGACGCTGCGGCTCGCCGCCAAGAACGAGCGGCGCGCGTCCGCGTTCCGGCGGCTCGGCGAGCGGCTCGGACTCATCCGCGCGGGCCCGGGCGCGGCCGTCGCGCCGGCCGTCGCGCCGCCCCCCGCCGTCGACGACGCCGCCGTCGCGTCGCTCCGCGCGTTGATGGCCGGCGGCGAGACCGCGTCGGCCGCGCGCGCGCTCCGCAAGGCGCCGCCGGCCGCGGCCGCGGCCGCGCTCGCGACGGCGCTGGCGACGGGCGGCCCGGAGGTCGCGTGGGCCGCGGCCGCCGTCGCGGACCGCGCCGCCTGCGACGACGTACCGTTGATCCGCGCCTGGGCCGCGCGCTGCGCCGTCCGGCAGCCCCGGGAGCCGCCGTCGCGCGCGTCCCTCGACGAGGCCGACGTCGCCGAGTACGACGACGTCGCCGAGCTGGGCGCGCAGCGGCGGTCGAGCTCCGGCGCCGCCGAGGACGCGCCGGCGCGGAGCCTGGCGCTGCCGAACCTGCGGCTCGGGCGGTTGAGCCCCCAGGGCGAAGGTCTACGAACCTTCCAGAGCTCCGCGCGCGCGGGCGTCGGCTCCGCGCGGGACCACAGCGCGCGCCGCGTCGGCGACAGCGCGCGGCGGGCGACGCACCGGTCCGCGCGGTCCGCGCGGCTGAGCACGGCCGACGGGTCGACGCACCGCGGCCGCGCGGAGCGCCTGCCGCCCGTCGAGGCCTTCGCGGCCGCGCCGTGCGACGCGGCCAAGCTCGCGGCCTTCGCGGGCAAGGCGCTCGACGACGCGCCCCCGGCCCTCGACGACGACACGCTGTCGAAGCTCGATGCCTGGGCCATCGCCGAGGCCGCGGCGCTCCTGGACCGGGGCGACGGCGCGCTGCCCACGGGGAGCGCGCTCGCGCCCGCGTCCGGCGCCGCGGCGGACGCGGTCGCCGCGGCCTGCCGCCTCCTCGCGGCGTCGCTGTCGAAAGCCACGGCCGACGCCGCGCTGGCATTCGCCTACGAGGCCTTTGGCGCGCTGGTCCTCGGGGGCGCGGCGCCGGCCGCGGCGGCCGCGCTCGCGGCCGACGCCGCGCGCGCGCTCGGGACGTCCGCGGCGAGCGAGGCCCGGCGCCGCTGCCGCCTCCTCGACGACGGCGAGCGCGCGCGGCCCGGCGACGTCGAGTTCGCGAAGCGCTGCGCCGGGGAGCGCGCGCTCGCGCTCCGCTTCGCGCGGGGCCGCCGCGACGCGGGCGACGTCGGCGTCGCCGCGCTCCGGGCCGCGGCCCGGAGCGCGGCGCGGTCCCCGCACTGCGCGCCGGCGACGCGGGAGGCTTTGGTGCTCGTGCGGCCCGACGCGCTCCACGCCGCGGCCGCGGGCGGGGCCGCCGCGGCGGACTTCGTGTCGAAGCTCCTCGGCGGCGACGCGGAGCGCGACGACTTCTTCGGCGAGGAGGCGTCGTGCCTCACGGCCCTGCGGCGCCACGTCGAGTACTGCCTCGACGAGGCCCAGCCGGACCACGTCGTGCTCCACGGCCTCGACGCGGTCCACGTGCTCCTCGACGCGGCGCGGAAGACCGACGGCCACGCCGCCGCGCTCTCGGCCGTGGCGTCGCTCGCGCTGCGCGGCGGCTGGGGTTTAGGCGGCCCGTTGGCCGTCGTCGCGAGCCGCCTCGACGACCCCCGGCGCGGGAGCGACGCCGTCGTCGCCGCCGCGCTGCGCCCGTCGACGCTCGCGCTCCTCGCCGCGGCCGACGGCGACGTCGCCGACTGCGCGCCGGCCTTCGTGCCGCTGCACGTCGAGGCGCTGCGGGACGCCGACGGGGCGGGCCATTTGTTGGGCGGCGCGCGGGAGGCGTCGATCGCCCAGCTGCGGAGCCTGTTGCTGCTCGCGGCGCGCGCGCAGCCGGGCGACTGCGTCGACGCGTTCCGATTCTGCGACGCGGTGCCCTGGCTTTTGGAGCTCCTGGGGCCGCCGGACTGCTCGCGGTCGCTGGCGGCGTCGAGCCGCGAGCCGTCGACGCCCGTCGCACTCGAGCCGCTCGCCGCGTCCTTCGAGGCCGGCGACGGCGTTTTGGTGCGCGCGGAGGCGAGGAACGGCAGGGAGCGCTGGTTCAAGGCGACGGTGGACAGGCGCGACGGCGACGCCTACGACATTTTATGGAAGTCGGGCGGCGGTGAACTAGGCGTGCCCGCCGAGCGCGTCCGCGCGCCCCGCGGCGACCGGCGGCGGCCGCCGTCCGGCGCGCCGCCGCGGCCGCGGCCGACGACGCCGGCGTTCGCGCGCGTCCTCGACGGCGGCCTCTGCTCGCCGCGGGCGCCGCCGGGGGCCCAGCGCGTGCCGGCCCTGCGGCTCTCGCCCGCGGGGCCGGCGCCACCGGACGGCGTCGACGACCTGTGGTGCCTGGACGTGCCCGTCGGCGCGGAGTCGTCGCGGCCCGCGACGGACCGGAGCGGCGCGGGCCTCAGCCTCGACGTCGCGTCCGCGCGGCGCATGACGCGGTCCCTGTCCATCGGCGGCGGCGACGAGCCGACGCCGTCCCTGAGCTGCATCACCGGCGGCGCGCCGTCGCCGTCGCCGCGGACGCCCGGGGACCCGCTCCTCGAGTTCGACGTGCCGCCGCTGCTCCCGGGCGACGCGACGCCGCGCGCCGCGTCGCGGCGACGGCGGGCGCCGCCGGCGCTCGACGACGACGAGCTCCACGAGCTCGTCGTGACGCTGCTCCTGGTGCTGGCCGTCGGCCGGTCGTCGGAAGGGGGGGAGCTCGAGCCCGCGTTCTGCACCGCGCACCCGTTGAGCGACACGGGCACGGGCATCCGGAGCCACCCGGACCGCCGCCTGTCGGCGTCGGCCCTCCGGAGCCTCAACGAGTCGCCGATGACGCCCACGGGGCTGCGGCCGGAGCACCGGCGGTCGCACGGCGCGCTGACGGGGCGCTCGCAGTCGCTCACGGCGCGGTCTCTGTCCGCGCGGTCCGCGCTCGTGTCCGCGCGGGGCTCGCCCGACGGCGCGTCGGCGGAGGGCAACGCCCAGCTCCTCGAGGTCGGCACGGAGGGGTCCGCGCTCGGCTTCCACCTCCTGGACGCGCTCCACCGCCACTGCAACGGCGACGACCGCGCCGCGGCCGTGGACCGGTGCCTCGCGGGCGTCGCGCGGCGCTTGGAGGCCTGGGGGGCCGCGGCGCCGGGCTCCGGGCGGCCCGCGGGGTGCCTGCGGCTCCTGCGGCTGCTCCGGGAGGCGCGGGGCGACGCCGGCGCCGCGCTGCGGGTCGCGCTCGGCCGCGAGACCGCGGACGCGGTCCTCGGCCGCGGCCGCTTCGGCGTCGTCGTGGCCCTCGACGGCGCGACCTGCGCGAAGCTCCTGCGGCGCGAGCGGTCCCACCGGGACCGGTCCGTGGCCCACGGCGTCTTCGCGGAGGTGTCGGCGCTCGCGCGGCTCGGCGAAACCGCCGCGGCGCCGCGGCTGCTGGATTTCGGCGTCGTCGACGACTGCTACGTGCTCGTGCTCGAGCGGTGCGCGCACGGGACGCTCTTCGACTGGCGCGAGGCCCGGAAGCGGTCCGGTCCGCCGACGGACGGCGACTGTGTGGCGTACGCGCGCGTCTTCGCCAAGGTCGCGCGCCGCGTCGCCGCGTGCGCGGAGCGCCGCGTCGTCCACCTCGACCTCAAGCTCGAGAACGTGCTGCTGCGGGGCGACCCCCTCGACGGGCCCGACGACGCGCTCTGCGTCTGCGACTTCGGCGAGGCGCGGCTGCTGGGCGCGGCAGGCGACGCGCGGATCACGCGCGCGCACGGCACGGAGGCCGTGGCGGCGCCCGAGGTCCTGCTCGGCGTCCAGCAGTCCGGAACGGGCCAGGCCGCGCCCGTCGGGCCCCCGGCGGACGTCTGGGCGCTGGGCTGCCTGCTCTACGAGCTCGTCGCGGGCCGGAAGCTCTTCGAGGACGCCGTCGCGTCGGACTGGCCCCTCTTCTTCGTCACGCTCTCGAACGAGGCCGCGCCGCTCCCGCATGAGGCCGCGCTGGAGCCGCTCACCCACCTCGCGTGCAAACCGGCGCTCCTGGACCTGCTCCAGACGGCCCTGCGCCGGGACCCGGCCGCGCGCGACACCGCGGGCCAGCTCGCGGCCAACGCGGACCTCTTCGCCGACGGCCGGCCCCTCGTCCTCCGGCCGGCGCCGCCGGGGCCGCCCCGGCGCCTCTCGTCCGTCTAGTATCTAATGTCTAATTTTGGTTGAAGCAAAGATGCACTGCCGTTGCTGCTGCGTCACTGCCGGCTAAGCTAAAGTTGACCGGTTCAAAGAGCAGCGAAGCCGTGAAGTTTTTACGTCACGGCATCGCCTCGCTCCGGGCTCGGACGCGCGATGCAGCGGTTCCAGGACTTGGCGCGGCGCTCGGTCTGTGGACCTTGCCGCGCCTCGGGCCCGGCTGCGAGTCGCTCGGGAAAGACCATCGGTCGAAGGCGAGCAACTTAGTTCGCGTCGGGACAGCCCGTGGATGACGAGAACGGCCATTAACGGTGGGGGGCGACCGACGAGGGGCCCAACTTAGTTCCAGGGGTCGAGCTGTGCGTTAGACTTCGAAGAGACACCCCCTGGAATGATGTTCCCGAGGGCACTGTCTCGGTCCTAACGCACCGAACGCCTCATGCATTGCGCGGTGAGCACCGTGTCGCCGGCGGCGCCGCGCGCCTCCCGGAGGCGGTCAGGTGATCTCGATCAAATCCGCTCGAGCCGAAGAGCTGCCGCGAGGGCATCTGATCGCCCTCATAACGAACGATTCCCGACGCTCTGTGACTCGAAGGGGAACGAAAATCGGGTCGGGGGAAGCTGCCCCGCCCCATTCCACCCCCTGGGGCTGCCCGTTTGCGTCGCCTCGCAATCGTCCGGATGTCGCGTCTTTTCATGTGCCTCACCCACATGTTTGCGGACCTCAAATCCACTGGGATCGTTGCACGTCGCTGCATATTCGAGGAGCGCGGGGTCCTCTAAGGTGGAGATTCCATCATCGGCCGCTGAAATGCTCGCACGATACACCGTCTCTTAGCTACGGATTACTGCATCATTGCTTCATAGATGTGCTTGTTCAACGACGGCTCATTCGCAGCCGTAGCCGGTGGTGTTGCTGGCGAGATCAAACCCGATGGGCTGCTCATTTAGATGCTCTCACATGTCTCGATGATGCGCCTCGTCGCCTCGGCGGCCCTCGCGGCGGCCGCCGCGGCGACGTGCGCGCCGCCGGGCGGCAACCGTACGCCCGGCGTGCTCGTCTACGTCGTCGGCGCCGCGCGAACGCTGGCGGCGGAGGTCGACGACCTCGCGCGGCTCTTCTGCGAGGACGCGGCCTGGGCCGGCGGGCGCTACGTCGTGCCGCTCCTGCACACCTGGGCGAGATCGAGCTGCGACGGCTCCGACATCGCCGTCCCGCGGCCGTTCTTCGCCGCGGGCCTGTCGAATTTCACGATGGACGACGTCGACGGGCCGCTGCAGCGCCTGGTGTCGCGGGAGCCGCCGCACTCGCCGGAGCGGACGCGCGCGTCGGCGTTCGTCGGGCAGCTCTTCCACATCTACAACCTGAACCGGCGCGCCGACGCGCTCCTGCGGGGCGCGGGCCTCCCGGAGGCGCCGGGCGACGCGCTCGTCGTCCGCTGGCGCACGGACACGACCGTCGCGGACCGGGGCGCGCTCGGCGTCTTCCTCACGGACTGCGCGCGGTTGCTCCCGGACGTGCCCGGCGGCGTCTGCATCCTGCCCACGGGGAAGACGAAGCTCATCCCCCCGCGGTGCTTGGATCGACGGACGTCGCCCGGAGGCGTGGACTACGAGACGGCGACGTGCTGCCACCCCGAGGGCCGCGGAATCCTCTCCGACTGGGCGTTCCTGACGACGAAGCGGGTCCTCGACGCCATGGACGGCCACGCGGCGCCGCTCCAGGTCTTCGCGGGCGAGGACCGCGCGGAGCACCGCCTCTGCGAGACGCTTCTAGCGCGCGGCGGCGGCCGATCGCTCGTCTGGCCGCGGTCCGCGGACGCGGCCGCCGCGCATGTGGGGCTCACGTCCGTGCGCTGCGCCGGCGCGACGCCCTACACGACGACGCCGCCCCCGAAGCCGGGCTAACCTACTACGGTCGCGTCTCGTTGGTGCAGGGGACCTTCACCCGCCGCTTGCACTTCGGCATGCTTTGCGTCTGGTCCTCGCAGGCGAAGGCCACGCAGGGCGGCTCCGACGCCGGCGCCGGCGGCTTCTTCGGGGACGGCTGGCAGGCCGCGCCCAGGGGCCGGCAGCGCGTCGAGTCGAGCGCGCAGGGCGCGTCGAAGAGGAGGCGGTAGTCGTCGGCGTACGCGTGCCTCAGGAGCCGCGTGACATCCCGCGAGATGTTCGCGACGGTCACGGGCGTGGGCTCGTGGTGCGTCGTCGGCTTCGTGCTCTCGAGGCGGTAGGGCAGGTCGTAGGCGGCCATGAGCGCGTCGAAGTCGTCCTGGACGCTGGCGAAGCGGAGCACGTGGCCGCAGGTGCACGCGCCCGCCGCGTCCCAGACGTAGAGCCGCTGCGGGATCATGTGGCAGTCCTTGACGGCCGCGAAGTCCGGGTCCGCGTCGAAGGCGCGCGCCATGTTCCGCGACGTGCGCAGCATCATGTCGTTCATGTGCGCCATGTCCGCGGCGCTGTCGAGGCGCGACGCGCGGTGGATCATCTTGTACTCGGAGAGGAACCGGTCCACGGGGTCGCGAACGACGCAGAACGTGTCGTTCGCCGGGTACCTACCGAGTGCGTCGGTGACGATCTCTCGTCGTTATCCCGGTCAAACGCTCTCGAAGATCGTCACGGCCGCAGGACGCTGCCGGGTACCTGTTCGGCTCCATGTAGCGCGGCGGGCAGTGCCACTTGGCCGTCTCGCACTTGGCGAACTTCGCGTTCGGGTGGTACCGCGGGAAGAAGTGCTCCACCGTCGCGCCGGCGTTCTTGGGAATGCTACACGGATGGGTGTCATTCGTGTCGGAGACGCGATGGCAAAGACGCGGCCGTCGCGCTGCAGGAACTTGAGCTTGGTGTGCGGGTGGGCGGGCTGCTTGCGTTCTTGCGCCGGAGCGTGGAGATTCTGGAAGTCGCGCACGGGGAACGTTATCTCGTGGAGCGGCGTATCGGCGGCCGCCGCGGCGGCGAGGAGTAACTGCCCGTTCAGGAAGCCGCCCATCGCGTCCGAAGCATTTGCTTGAACTTGCGATTGAACCCCCCAAAAAAGGCTGCCCGCTTTCACGCTGTTGCGCACTGCGACCATGGGCGGCCGCGGCGCCCCGCGCGAGGCGAGCGCCGACGAGGCGCGCGTGCTCGCGGCCGTCGAGGGCGAGCTGAACCGGAGCTTCGACGAGGCGTCGGACCTGCCGCTGCTCAAGCGGCTCTGGGTCGCGGCCCAGGGCGACGAGGCCGTGCCCTTCGAGCGGACCGGGGAGGCCTGGACCCAGTTCGGGTTCCAGCAGGAGGATCCCATCTCGGACCTGCGGGGCGGCGGCGTCCTGGGCCTGGCGAACCTCGTGGCGTTCCTCGAGCGGTCCCCCTTCTTCGCGCGGCCCATCATGGCGAGCCGGCGGCCCGCGGCGGCGGCGTTCGACCCCGAGCAGCCGGGCTTCTACCCCTTCGCCTGCGCGGGCATCAACGTGACGCTCGCGCTCTGCGAGTTCGCGGGCCTGCGGGGCCCCGGCGGCGCGCCCAAGCCCGCGGCGCGGCCCGAGCTGAGCTTCTGGCCGCTCCTCGCGGGCGACGGCGCCGCGTGGGACGCGGCCTACGCGGTGGGCTTCCGGTTGCTCGACCGGTCCTTCGACTCGAAGCGGGCGTCCTACATGGACTTCAACGCCGTGCGCAAGGAGGCCGTCGCCGACCTCCGGGCCGCGCTCGAGCGCGCGGCCGGCGACGGGCCCGCGGCGCGCTACGTGCGCGGGGCCGTGGACCCGCGGCCCCCCTGCGGCCACGACGGTTTGGCCAAGGGCCTGAAGCTGGCCCCCCACGGCTGGGGCGCGACCGCGCCGGCGCGGAGCGGCGCCCTCGAGAAGCTGCCCGTGTCCGGCCTCGTGACGTCGCGGAAGGTGTCGAAATGGAAGCGGCGCCACTTCGTGCTCCGGGGCGACGTCGTCGCCTGGTTCAAGCCCGTCGGCGACCGGCCCGGCGTCCAGGCGTCGCCCGCGGCGGCCAAGGCCGACGCCGCCGCCTGGGCCAAGGCCGAGGTCCACGGCGAGCTCACGAACGCGACGCGGCTCACGGCCGACTCGGGCATCCGGCCCGGCGCGGACGCGACGGCCTTCAAGGTCGAGCGCTGCGCCAACTTCGACGGCTCCAAGGGCAAGCTCCGGCTCAAGGCGTCGAGCGCCAACGAGGCCCGGGCCTGGATGGCCGCCATCGAGAAGGCCATCGCCGCCGCGCCGCCGGCGTCGCCCGAGGCGCGCCGCGGCGCCGCGCCGCCGCCGGCCCGCCCCGGCGCGGGCGACGACTTCGACGCCGACGACGACGACGCGCCGGGCCGGCGCCTGCGCAGCGGGAGCCGCAGCTCGGGCGCGCGGCCGAGCACGTCCGCGGGCGAGTCGTCGCCCGCGTCGCCGCCGTCGCCGGCGACGCCCGGCGCGCCGCCCCCCGCGCGGCCGCCGTCGGACCGGGACCTCATGGCCGAGAACGCCGTGGCCCTCGGGCGCACGGCCCTCGAGGACGCCCCGCCGCCGCCGCCGGCCGGCGCCGCGGGGCCGGAGTGGATCTCGTGCGCGGACGACCGGGCGCGCGTCTACTTCGTGCACCGGCCGACGGGCGCGACGCAGTGGGACCTGCCGCCGGGCTGGGCCTCGTCGTCCTCGGGCTGGGCCGCGCGCGTCGACGCCCGCTCCGGCCACACGTACTACTTCTTCCCGCCCACGGGCGAGACCACGTGGACCCTGCCCGAGCGATAGGCGCGCGCGCCCGCGGCCTCTTAATCGCTGGCGTCGGTCATGACGATGGCGACGTAGACGAGGACGGCCGTGATCGGGATGAAGAAGGCGCGGCAGAAGATGTCGAGCTGGAGGCTGCGCGGGTGGTACTCGCCGACCGCGACTGGGCGACGATTCTCACCCTCGCCATGCTCCCCGGCTTCCTCCTCGGCGCCTTCGGCGGGTCCCTCGCGGTCCAGGGCCTCCGCCGGGCCACCGCCACCCGCGGGGCGACTCGCGGAGCGCGCCGGCCTTCTAGCGAGTGTACTTACGGAACTCGCGCAACAGGGCGGGGGGGGGTCGTGGTTGATGCGACGCGCGCGCAGCTAGTCGTCTTCGTCGTCGTCCTCCTGGACGTCCAACTTGTCCGCCATCTTGAGCCAGCGCCGGTGGCCCGCCCCGGCGTCCTTGTGTCCGGCGGCCCGGCGGCAGCGCTTGGAGGGCCGGGCGTTCTTCTTCACACCAGGGCGGCGGACCGGCTCGCCCCGGGTCTCGTCGAAGTAGTGGTGGGGGAAATTTCTAGGACTCAAAGGTTTGCAGCTCATGAACGTGCACTCCTTGTGCGCGCACGTCTGGTATCTCACATCGTCGTCGAAGGTCGCGTGCCACAGCCGGGCGAACTCCTTGTCGCTCAGCGCGTCGAGCTCGAGGAGCTGGTCGTCGGTGCCCGGGTAGTATTCCGCGAACCTGTGTGGAAATCAAACAGTGAGCTGGGTTATCCCAACCAACTTCAGAACTCTCTATCTCGGCCAAATCGACGTCGATTCGGCTGATTTTTGGACGAATCGATTGCTCTTGTCGAGTTCTCGAAGCACAGCAGAAGATCTCGCGTCGAAACGGTCGCATATCCCCGGCGCGGTGCCGTGGCACCCGCCCGCCTCCCTGCGCGCTGCGGCGTGCACACTCTCATTCCCCGGCCTGGCTTCGCAGTCCCCGCTCCGCCTTTCCGGCCGCGGCGGGGGAGCAGAGGAGCCAGGATACGCCTAGGATACCCGTAACGCAGTCTCACTCTGATCTGCTCCTAGGGCCCTCCCAGCTTAATCGTGACGCTCAGTCCGCCAGGAACCGGCGTCCGGGGACCGCTCCTGCTACTTGGTTTGGGTTGGCTGGGCTGATCTAGGAGTCACCCATAATAATAATAATCATCAGCAGCTTCAATAAGTCGTTGAAGGTGGCCCCTTTGGCTCCTCGGCGCTAACAGGGCAGAAGATGGGGCCGATGCGCAGCCCGCGCGTGCTCCCGCCGCTGGACATCGCCCGGACGCCGCCGGCGCCGACGCCCGTGGCCGACGAGGCGCCGCCGGAGCCCGAGGCCTCCGCGACCGAGGCGCCGCCGGTGACGTCGGAGCCGACGAAGGAGGCGCCCGCGGCGCCGGATGCGGTCAAGGATCCGGTGGCCGACCCCGCCAAGACCGTCGTCGCCAAGGCGGAGGCGAAGAGCCCGCGCCAGAAGCTCACGTACTACCAGACCTTCGGCCCCGTCCTGGGCTTCTGGATGCCGTTCACCTTCGTCCTCACGGCGCGATCATGGGCTACACGGCGGCCAACGGCCTCGTGCTCTTGACCGCGAGTCCGGTCGGATCTACTCCTGGGACGACGCGGGCTACTCCTGCGAGTACACGGACAGCACCATGTCGGCCATGGCCGGCAACGGCCTGATCTCGTCGTCCGACAAGGGCTGCTGGCTCCTGACGGAGTACTTCGACCTGTACGACGAGCAGTTCCCGGAGGTCGGGCCGAACCGCGACTGCAACAACCTCGTCGCGCGCGACGAGTGCACGGACGTCATGTGCACGAACTGGGGCACCTTCGACTACATCGACGCCTACGGCATGTGCCCCCACGAGTGCGGCATCTGCATGGACCAGGCCCAGTCCTGCGCGTCGTCGACGCTGACCGACGACCCGGACTGGGAGTCGTCCTACGGCGACTGCAAGACCTACCAGCCCGGCGAGGACAACGAGGGCTACTGCGCCGACGACGGCGCCTGCTCCATCTGCGCCTGCTCCTGCGAGGCCGACGCGGGCTGCTAGGGGTTCTTTTTGCTTTGTAAATCATCATCAGCTTCAATTAAGTTGTTGCTTGGTCAACTTGCTGCGGCCTAAACCGAGTGCTGATGGCGGGCAGCGGGCAACCTCCCATGAACGCCGGTGCGAGCAGCGCGGCGCCGTCTCCCGAAGCCGGGGGCGCGACGTCCCGCGGCGCCGCGGCGCTGCGCGCGGTCGCGACCTACTACTGCTGCGCGACCGAATCGCGTTATGACGACCACTCTTGCGATTTGAACATCGAGAACACGAAACTCTGCTGCCTCGTGACTCTCGCAAGGGTCTCCAAATCGCTCCGGCTGGAGGTCCAACGCCTCACGTACCTGCTAATCGGGCTCGAAGAGACGCAGACTACGTATTGGATGGGCCATCGGAAATATGCCTGCACAGACTGTCGCCGCGGCCAACGTACGTTTCTCGATGTGTTCGATCCGAATACGACGCGACTCGACTTTCGTCCGTTTCCAAACATCCGAGAGCTGGAAGTCGACGGCCTCTTTAGCGAGCAGGGCGTCGACTGCGTGCTGCGGGCCGCGTCCTGTCTACCGAAGCTTGAACAGCTTCACCTCTCCTTCGCGTTCGCACCAAAGGAACAGACCATGGTCAATTTCGTGCAACAGCTGGTTGGAATTTCAGGAGAATCATTACTGCCTTCGCATAATGAGGTACCTGTTTCGGAGGAGAATAAACGTTTACTCAGGCCGATCGCGGAAGAAGCGTTCGACGCGGCGAAGAAACGGCTTCGACCGTTGATGCTACGCTTTGCACGCGGATGCAAGATCGAAGGATTCGGGGGGGGGCGCTCGATCTTCTCACCCACGCTCAAGTCTATTTCGTTCCGGCAGAGTGAAGACCTGGATCTCGTCGGATGCTATTTGGCAAAACTTGATTCGACCATCCAAGACAATAGCTTTGGCTTTCACGAAGACAATAATTTCGTGTCGAGGGTGCTGCAACGGAACTTGCCGCCCACCGCCACATTGTGGTTCGTGCTCTCAGAACCTTACCACACCGATCCGCTTACGATCGACGAAATCCTCTCGCTCCTGCCCGCGGTGGATTTGGAAAGCGCGATCGAAGCGCCAGACAGCAGCTACGACGGGGTCGCGACCTTCCTGCAGTTCATGATGGCCTCGAACATTGGCATTGAGATGGACGAGCGGACGGACGAGGGCTATCGCGCGCGGCTCCTGTTCGAGCTCGTCGAGGCCGGCGCGTCCACCGCCGCGCTGCGACGCGCGCCCTGCGAGGACGGCCACTACGAGGAGTGCATGCAGCTGGTGGCCCAGGCGGCCGAGGCCCTGGGCTGCGAAGCGCCCACCCCAAGCGATTAAGGACCGCTCTCGGAGGGAGTACAAGTACGGGCCCCGCGGGCGCGCGGGCGGAACAGGCCGCGCCTAGCCCTTGAGCTGCGAGTAGGCCGCGCCGATGCGCGTGCGGAGGGACTCGACGTCCTGGTTGAGGGCCTTGCGCTTGGTCTTGCACTCGCTCTTCTTCGCGTCGTCCTTGATGTCCGTCGTGACGACGGCGTCGATGCCCGCGAACTGGAGCTTGTCGAGGCGGCCGTTGATCTGGGCGACGTCGGCCTTGGCCTCGGCCTTCCAGGCGGCGTCGTTGCCGCTCCGCAACCCGAACTCGACCTCGCCGACGGCGCGCTCGAGGTCGTCGAAGGTCGCGCGGAGCGCGAGCAGCTTCTCGAGCGCGCCCGACTTGGGCGACCGCGGCGCGCCGGGCGCCTTCGCTGGCGCGGCCGGCGGCGGCGCCGCGGCGGGTGGCGCCGCCGCCGCGTCGAAGCCCGCCGCGGCCTGCCGTCGCGCCTCGGCCGTCTGGCGCACGCGGAGGACCGCCTCGAGCGCGAGTTTCCACGCGGAGCACTCGGCGACGGTCGCCGCCTTGAGGGTGAGGGGCTGGGGCGGGTCGTCGCCGCCGCTCGAGAAGAGGCCCGGCGAAACGTTGCGCTTGATGACGGCCGTCAGCTCGACGGCGAGCCGCGGGTCGGCCTTGGAGAGCCGGAGCTCGCAGTCGGGCGCGAGCGCGTACTGGCCGAGCACCTCGCGCTCGCCGCCGTCGGCGTACTGCACGAGCTCGCGGTGCTGGCGGTTGAAGGTCCAGTGGCCCTTGGCCCAGCGCTTCCCGAACATGAAGGAGCCCTTGCCGAGCTGGCTCGAGAGCTGGCCGCGGATGACGACCGCGGGCTCCGCCGCCGGCGGCTTCTTGATCTGCTGGACGACCTTGGGCGGCGGCGGCAGCGTCGCCGGCGCGTCGCGCGCGGGTGCCTCCTTGGCCTCGGCCCGGGGCGGCACGTCGTCGAAGTCCGCCGCGCGCCGCGCGAGCGCCGCGCTCGGCGGCGGCGCGGCGGCCAGCGGCGCCGCGGGCGCGGCGGCGGGCGTGGGCTCCAGCACCTCGCGCTCCGCCTCCGGCGCCATGGGCTTGAGGTCCGCCCAGATCTTCTGCGCCTCCGGCGAGTGCATGGCGCCCAGGCTCATGCCGTGGCCCGTGCCCTTCTCCGTCCAGCCCTGCATGGTCCGACCCGGGTCGCCGGCGCCACCGGCGGGACCCGCGGAGGCGCGCGACGGCGCGGGCCGCCCCCTCGGGAACCGCGCGGCGGCGCGGGCAGACCCTGGGCGGCGGCCAAGGCGAGCCCCGACTGGACGGCGGCGGGCAGCCCCTGGACGGCGTGGTGATGAGCTGCTTGCCCCGACTGCCGGATTCTAACTAGTACACGCGCTAACTACGGCGAGACCCCGGCTAACTAGAAGGCATGCCCATGGTCGCGCGCGCCGGCTCCAAGTCCGGCTCCGCGGACTTAGGAATGCGCCCCCTAGAAGGCCGACGCGACGAGGGCCTTGAGGTAGGCGGGCCGGCCGCGGTGGAGCTTCGCGAGGGACGCGCGTTCCAGGGCCGTCTTCCGGTGCTTCTTCCGCTCCGCCTCGGGGACCCACTTGCCCTGGTGGTAGTCGTCGACCTGCCGCTCCGAGTCGCTCCGCGCGTTCGCGACGTCGCCGAGCGCCGCGCGGTCCCGCGTCTCCGGCCGCGTGAGCTGCGTCCAGGCCTTGGCGACCTCGCCGACGACGAAGTCGAGGGCCTTGGTCAGGTCGCCGTAGCAGTCCGCGAGGTCCAGCAGCGACCGCGCGACGGCGCCGCGCGACGCGCCGGGCGCGGCCGCGAGGACCTCCACGCGCACCGCGCCGTCGGCCTCGGAGACGGCCACGCGGAGCACGCGCCCGCCCGAGAACGCCGCCGCCGCGGGCAGCGCCCGCTCGATGCGGTCGTCCGCCTCGAGGCCCAAGGCGCGCGCGACGCCGCCGAGGAGCGTGGCGAGCTCGCGCCGGAGCTCGACGGCGCACGCGGCCTCGGACGCGGCCGCGAGGTCCGCGCGGACGTCGCGCGACCTGTGTGGATTCCAAATCTTCAACCCGACTTCAATGTGCGCGTAATCGACAATTTCGACGAGGGGCTTTCCGCCGTGCTTCGAGAACTCGACGAGAGCAATCGATTCGTCCAAAAATCAGCCGAATCGACGTCGATTTGATCGAGATAGAGAGTTCTGAAGTTTGGTGGGGACCCCCCAAACCAGTGGTTGGAATCCACACTGCGCGCGACGGCACGCGCGCGTCGGGCCCCGGCGACACCTGGACCCGCAGGCGCCAGCGGCCGCCGGCGGCCTCGCCCTTGATGGCGCTCACGGCCGCGCGCCAGCCGCCGCGCCGGTAGAGCGGGCCCGCGCGCTCCTCGTTCGCGAGCGCGGCCGCGCCGACGGTCTCGCGCGCGGCGGCCGACGCGAACGCGGCCTCGCGCGCGTCCGCGGAGGGGCGCCGGAGGCCCAGGGACGCCGCGACGGCGCGCTTCGCCTCGCGGAGCACGGGGCCCCAGCGCTCCAGCGACCGCCGGTGGCCCGAGACCTGCGGGCGGCGCGCGCGCGTCGGTGTCCCTTCGCTCCGGGGGACGCGGCGCGCGTCACCTTCGCGAGGCCCGAGAGCACGGCCCGCGACATCTTCAGGCGGTTCGACGCGAGGCGGAGGAACGTGCCGAGGGAGCACTCCAGCGCCGCCGCGACGTCCGCGTCCGCGTCGCCGCCGGCCGCGCGGTGCACCGCCGCCGCGCCGTCCTCCGTCGAGAGCACCCAGACCTCGACGCCCGCCGACGTCCGCAGGCGCAGGGCGATGCGCGGCCGCGGCTCCGCCGACGCCACGGCGCACGCCGCCGCCAACGCGATGTCCACGGCCTCGACCGTGCGGTCCTCCTCCCGCTCCGAGCTCCGCGCCTCGGCGACGTCTTCGACGTCCGGCGCCGGCGGCGGGGGCGGCGAGTTCGGCGGGGCGCCCCAGTGCTCCGCATCGCGGCGCCGGGAGCGCGACGCGGAGCGCGACGTGAGCATCATCGTGGCTTTCTTGGCACTTTTCGCAACGTCGAGGAGTGCACGATGGGCTGCTGTTCGACTTCAACTTTAAAGGCTCGACTTGATGTTGAACTCCGCGCCATGGAGGGCCTGCGGATGCAGTGCTTCCTGGCGCTCGCTCTGGCGTGCATCGCGCCCGGCGCGCTCGCATTAGTCCCGCCGACCCCCGCCCTCCACCGGACCCCCGCCCTCCACCGGCGCGCGTCGCCGCTGTTCATGCTCGACCTCGCGACGTCCCTGCTCGGCGCCGACGAGGACAGACTCGCGGAGCTCGTGGCGGACAACTTCGACGCCCTGGACGCCCCGACGATGGAGAAGCTCCAGGGCGGGGACGCCGACGCCGCGGACCGCGTCTTCGGTGCGATCAACGCGGAGACGGAGCGGCGCATGGCCGCGGCGAAGGACAAGCTCGAGGAGATTTTGGACGCGGGCGAGTTGCTGGAGATGGACCGGCGGCTCATGAGCCTCTTCAAGCGCGGCGGCGCCGACGTGCCCTTCCTCATGTGCCTCAACGCCAACGCCAACGCCGCGGACGAGGGCTCCGACAAGCGCATGGTCCTCGAGCATCTCTACACGCGAGCGCAGGAGGAGCTCGAGAAGAAGGCGGACCCGGCCAAGGCCGTGCTCCACAAGCTCAACCGCACGCCGGACAAGGCCATCCGCGACAACGTGCTCCACCACTACCTCGCGCCCCAGACGGAGCTCATCACGCCGGACGCGACGGTCATCCCGCTCGACAAGCCGATCCCGCCGCGCGTGACGCCCGAGGCCTTCGCCGGCGCCATCGACGACACGGTCGCCCAGCTCCGCGGCCTCGACGCCGACGGCGACCTCATCCGCGCGAACATCGAGCAGTGCCGCCAGATCGCCATCGAGGCGCGCGGCATCCTCGTCAACACGGGCACGCCCGAGCAGGTCGCCTACTTCGAGGAGGAGCTCTCGAAGACCTGGCCCCTCGGCAGCACGGACTAACCACGTATGGGCGACCTCCGGGTGTGTTTTCGGACGGCACGAGTGCAACGTCGACCTCGGGGTTGTTCTTGAAATCGTTGGCTGCCCCGATGGGCGCTCATCGTCGTCCACGCAGTGCCTGATCCGAGGACGATGGAGTACGACGGCGGCGTCGGCGCCGCGCTCGGCAACCTCGACATGGACACGCCGGCGAAGGCGAAGCGCGCGAAGCCGCCGCCGGGCCCGCCGCCCCGCGGCCAGGCGAAGAAGTACGCCGCGCCGCTGGCCCCGGCGAACGGCGCGGGCCTGCAGACGCCCAAATTTCAGGCGTTCTTCTCCGACCTCGCGGCGAAGGACGGCAACGCCGCCGTCGCGGCCCGGGAGCGCGCGGAGCGCGCGGCCGCGCGCGACGCCAAGGCCAGGGCCAAGGCGGAGAAGGTCGCCGCGGCGCGCGCGCGCGAGGCCAACCAAAGGGCCGCGCGCGAGTCGCGGCGCGCCTCCGCGTCCGCGCCGGCGGAGGAGGCGAAGCGCGAGCCCGAGCCCGAGCCCGAGCCCGAGCCCGAGCCGGAGGCACCGCCGGACGCGAAGGCGGAACCCGAGAAGGAGCCGCCGACGGCCGCGAAGGCGGCGGAGGCGCCGAAGAAGAAGGGTCGCTGGTCCTTCTTCGGCAAGGCGGCGACGCCCCAAGAGGCGGCGCCCGCGGCGGCGGAGGACGACGCGGCCTCGTCGCGCTTCTCGAGCGACGAGGAAGCGAGGCTCCGCGCGCGGCTCGTCGTCGCGCGGCCGCGGAACTCGCCCGAGGCCGAGCGCGCGCTCTTCGCGAGCGCCACGGCGGGCTGCCCGGACGCGGACGAGCCCGAGGAGGCCATCCGCCACCTGAGCGCGGTGCTCCGGCGCGACGCCGACGTCGGCGGCTCGCCCGCGGCGTGGTTCGCGGTCCACGCGCGGCTCGGCGCGAGCTTCGACGCGCTCGCGCGCCTGGGGCGGAGCCGGGACAAGGGCGCGGCCTACCGCAGCGCGCTCTACCACTACGAGCAGGCGCTCGTCGGCGTGCAGCGCGCGGGCGCGTCGCCGCTCGACGACGCGCGCGGCGCCGTCGAGCTCGCGGCGGCGCGGGCCTGCGGCGCGCTCGCGGCGTCCATGGAGAGGGCCGGCGCGCCGCTCAAGCAGCGCGCCGCCATCGCGGGCAAGGACGTCGAGCTCTGCGAGCTCGCGATCCTGCACGCGACCGCGGACGCCGCGCGGACGGCGGCGCTCGAGGCGCTCGGCGCCGCGCGGCTCCGCGAGTGCGAGGTCGCCTGCGCGGCGCCGTCGGCGGCGCCGGTGCTGGCCGCGGGGCGGCTGCCGGAGGGCGCCCTCGCGTCCCTCGACGCGGCCGTCGCCGCCCTCGGCGAGGCCTGCCGCGATCCCGCGCGGTCGAGCGCCGAGAGCCTCGCGCGGCTCGGCGACGCGCTCGCGGCGCTCGCCGTCGCCATCCGGCCCGAGGGCGCGCCCTTCGACGCCAAGCAGCTGGCGCTCGCGGCCGAGGCGCTCGCGCGGAGCGACGGCGGCCTCGGCGTCGGCGACCGCGACGGCGACCGCCGCGCCGCGACGAGGCTCGAGGCGGCGCGGGCGACCGCGAAGCTCCTCGGCTTCACGCAGCGAGACACGACCTACGGCGGCGGCGCGCGGGCCCACGCGGAGCGCGTCGCCGAGCTCGCGGCGTCGACGGCGCGGTGCGCGTCGGAGGCGCCCCACCTTACGCTCGTCGGGCTCCCCGCGGTCGACGGCCCGTGCCTGGAAGCCCGGGGCTGGCTCGCGACGCGGCCCGTCGACCGGCGGAAGGCGCGCGAGGCGCTCGAGGCCGCGCGGGAGACCCTGGCGAAGCGCGCGCTCGGCGCCGCGGCGCGCGCCAAAGCGAAGAAGCGCAAGGGCGGCGCGCGCGACGACGCGACGCTCTGGCGCGAGGTCCACCGGGCCATCGCCGAGCTCGCGACGCAGGACGGCGACGACGCCGCGGCGAGGGCGGCGCTCGAGGTCGCCGCGGGCTGCGCCGACGGCGCGAGCCGCGACGTCGCCGCGAGGACGCCCGACGCGGCCGCGGCGGTGCATCGGGACCTCGCGCGCGCGCGCCACGCCTGCGGCGACTTCCGCGGCGCCGCCGAGGCCGCGGCGCTGAGCTGCACGGCCGCCGCGCGCGTCGCGGCGCTGGCGGCCGTCGGCGACGCCGAGGCGCGCGACGCCGCGTGCGCCGCGGCGGCGGCCGTCGCCGCGGCCGCGCGCGACGCGGGCGTCCGGGCGCTCATGGCGGCCCTGCGCCGCGAGTACGCCACGGAGCTGGCGCACTGCGGCGCCTGGCTGCCGCTCCGGGGCAACGGCGACGCCGGCGCGCTGCTCCGGCTCTTCGACGCGCCGCGCGCGTGTCGCCGCGCAGCGGCGTACGCGCCGGCGCTCGCGGCCCTGGAGGCGCGGGGCCACGCGCCGGCGCGCGTCGCGAAGGCCCTCGAGGCGGCGCGGCGGGCGCTGCGGGCCGCGGACGCGGCGCGGCGCGCGCCTCTCGAGGCCGCGGAGCGCGCGACGGACGCGCCGCGCGCGCCTTCGCTCCGGAGCCCCGGCGACGTCGCGGCGGCGAAGGGCTTCTCGCGCCTCGCGGTCTTGGAGGGCGGCGCGTCCATCCTCCGCGACGCGCCGTCGGCGCTCTTCGCGGACCCCGACCTGTCCGCCGCGACGGCCGCCGTCGAGGCCGTGCCGGAGAGCGACTCCGCGGTCTGCGACCTCGGCCTCCGGGTCTGCGATGACGACGCGCTCGTCCAGGCGAAGGCGACGCTCGCCGGCGACGGCGACGCGCTCGTCGCCTTCTTTGCCGCCGGCGAGTCGCTCGTCGGCGTCGCACTGGGCCACGGCGGCGCCGCGGCGCGCGTCTTCTTCGCGCCCTGGGCTTCGGAGACGCGCGCGAAGATGGGCAAGTACGCCGAGGCCGCGCGGCGCACGCGGGGCCCCAAGGCCGACGCCGCCGCGGCGCACCTCGCCGCGTTCTTCGCCGTCGACGCGCTCGTCGCGGGGTTCGGCGACCGCGCGACCGATCTGGCGGTCGTCGCGGAGGACGACGTGCTCCGCGTGCCCTTCCACGCCCTGCCGCTCCGCGCGGGCCGCGTTTTGGACCGCGTCTCCGTGCGCTACGGCCCGTCCCTGGCGGTCCTGGCGGCGCTGGAGCGGCGCGCGGCGCGGCGGCGGGACCTGAACGACTTCGGCGGCGCCGCGCCGTTGCTGGCCGTCGTCGCGGATCGCGCGAGCGGCGCGACGGCGGCGGCCTGGGCCGCGCCCGTGGCGACCGTGGACGGGTCGCTCGTGCCCGTGCTCGCCCTCGCGGACGACGAGCGCCTCCGAGGGTCGGAGGACGCGGCGCAGGATCTCCACGACGCGACGGCGGTGTACTGGGAGTCCTTCGCATCCGACGGCGCCGCGCTCCACGACGGCGACGTGCGCGTCGACGCGTCGGCGCTCCTGGCCGCGCGGCCCCTGCTGCCCCGCTGCGCGCTCGCGGTCGTGCTCCGCCGCGCGGGCGACGCGGCGGCCGGCGGCCCGGGCCTCCACGAGGCCCTGGCCTGCGGCGGCGCGGACACGTGCGTGTTGCCCGACGCCGCGAAGCCGCCGCTGGCCGGCGACGGCGCGGCCGCGGCGCTGCTGCGGCGGCTCTGGATGCTGGCCTTCGCGCGCGCGCTGCGGGTCCGGAGCCGCGACGCGACGCGCCGCGCGGCCGCGGCCGCCGCGGGCGACGCGTCCGTCTGGCTCCGCGACGCGACGGTGACCACGGCCGCGGCGCTCCTCGACGCCGCGCCCCTCGACCCAACCGATCGGCGCGACGCCAAACAGGCGCTCGCGACGTGCTTCCCGCCGCGGCCCGGCGACGAACGGGCCGCGCGGCCGCTCGCGCCGGACTTAGCCGACTGGGCCAATGTGGCGACGTTCGGCGCGGGCTACGGCGTGCCCGGCGCGGGCTGGAAGCACGCCGACGACGGCGCCGACACGGACGACGACGACAGCGACGCCGACTCCGTGGGCGGCGACGACCGCGGCGCCGCGGACGACCTCCGGCGCCGCTGGGAGGACTTCGCGGCGACGCGCGAGGGCCGGCGCCTCGTGCAGCGCCTCGGCCCGGAGAAGGCGCTGCGGACCTGGACGCGCCAGCGGCTGCGGCGCCGCGCGTCGTCCGCGGCGCGCGGCGCCGCGGCGACGGCGACGGGCTCGGCCAAGGCCCTCAAGGCCAAGGCGCGCGACTCGCTCCGGGACGCGGGCGCCGACGAGGCCGCGGCCAAGGTCAAGAAGTCCGTCGAGCGGGCGGGGCACGCCGCGCGGGAGGCCGTCGAGGCGGGCGCGAAGGAGGCCGCGGGCCAGGCGGCCGCGGCGAAGAACGACGTCGAGAGGGCCCTCCAGGACGCCAAGGCGAAGCGCGGCGCGGCGAAGGCGTTCAAGGCGCGGCTGAAGGAGAGCGACGCCGGGACCCAGGACCAGCGGTCGTCCGGGGCCTGCGTCGTGTCGTAATGTTTCTATTGAACTACACCTTTCGGTCATTGACGTATTCCTCTCGCTGAGAGTTGCCCGCACCGACCGCCGCCGCCCTGGTGCGGGCCAGGCAGGCAGGCAGCCTGTCGGCTTCGACGTGCTCGCCGGCCGAGTCTCTCGCAAAATCTCGTCACTCGCCGCTCGCACGATGGAAAAGATCACCTTGGCTGGCGCGGACCTCGTCGTCTCGGCAGGCCGGCAGCCCGCTCGCACCATGGAAAAGATCACCTTGGCTGGCACGGACCTCGTCGTCTCGCGGGTCTGCTTGGGCACGATGCAGTTCAGCGGTTCCAGCGACGCCTCCGACGCCACGTGGGGCTCCTGTGAGCAAGCGCAGGTCGACGAGACCGTGCGCGCCGCGCTCGACGCCGGCTTAAATTTCTTCGACTGCGCGGAGGCGTACGGCAAGGACCGCCGGGCGGAGCGCGCGTTCGGCGCGGCGCTCCGCGCGTGCGGCGCGAAGCGCGACGAGATCGTCGTCACGTCGAAGTTCGGCGTGCACGCGCCGCTCTGGGAGACGGACTCGCCCACGGGCGCGCAGGCGGTCTACGACGGCGACGCCGTGGCGCGCGCGCTCGCCGCGTCCCTCGAAGCGCTCCAGCTCGATTATTTAGATTTATTTCAAATCCACTGGCCGGGCAACGTCGGGATCGTCGGCGGCGAGCAGGCGTGCCGCGCCGCGGGGACCTGGGACGTCGTCGTCTCGGCCGTGCGCGCCCTCGACGACGCGAAGCGCGGCGGCAAGATCCGCTACTACGGCGTCTGCAACTTCGGCACCGAGGACCTCGCCGCGCTCGCCGCGGCCGCGCGCGAGGCCGGCGCGGGGCCGCCGGCGACGAACCAGCTGCCCTACAACCCGCTCTGGCGCCAGATCGAGCACGGCATCCAGTCGGCCTCCGACCTGCCGCTGCTCTGCTACTCGCCGCTCCAGCAGGGCCTGCTCTCGGGGAAGGTCTTCGCGGCCGCGGACGTCGCCGACGGCCGGAAGCGCACGCGGCTCTACGCGAGCGACGCGGCGCCGCTCTCGCGCCACGGCGGCCCGGGCGCCGAGAGCTTGCTCTTCGGCGAGGCGGGCGTCCTCAGAGCCCTCGCCGCCGTCGCGGCCGACGCGGGGCTCTCCGTCGCCGAGCTCAGCGTCGCGTGGCTCCTCGCGCGCCGCGGCGTCGCCTGCGTGCTCGTCGGCGCGTCGTCGCCGGACCAGGCGCGGCTCAACGCCGCGGCCCGCGCGCCCGCGGCCGCGCTCGCCAAGGTCGACGCGGCGACGGACGCGCTCAAGGCCCGCCTTTTCGCCGCGTACGGCGGCTGCGTCGACCAGTACGCGCCCGAGTCGCGCGTCCACGGCAACGACGCCGCCCCGCGCGTGACCTGCGCCGTGCTCTGACGTTCGAACTACTAGTGAGCCGACCTTACTTGGCGCCGAGGGCCTCCCGGAGGGCCTTGAAGCGCTCGACGCACTCCTTCTTGTTCTTCCCGGCGACGGCCTTGGCGATGCTGTCCCAGCGGGCGTTCTTGTCCATCGACGCGGGAAATTTCTCCAGCGCGGCCTCGAGCTGCTTCTGCTGCGCGTCGGACCAGTCGCCGGGCGGCGGCGGCGGCGTGTTGTTGGCGGAGCCGTTGGACTGGATGCCGCTCGCGGCCTTGTAGGTGCCGACGGGGACGAGGGGCTCCTGGAACTTGGCGATGCACTCCTCCTTCGTCCGCGGGCTGTCGAGCTTGCACTGCGCGTTGACGTAGTCGGCGATCTGCTCCCAGCGCTGCATGGCCCCCGCCTTGAAGCGCTTGCAGGCCTTGTCGAGCATGGCGAGCTCGGCCTCGGACCAGGGGAGCTTGGCCTTCTCGCCCGAGCCGAGCGAGATGACCTTCTTCTTCGGCGCCGGCACCGTCGGCTCGCCCTTGGCCAGGATGGCCTTGAGCTCGGCGAGCGCCGGGCCCGGGTCGGCGCCCCCCGCCTCCTCGGCGAGGCGCGCGCAGGTGTCGACGTCGAGGAGCTCGCACGAGTTGATGAGGTCGAGGTCCGAGAGCGCGGCGCCGTGGCCCGCGTCGCGCGCGGCCGCGTTCGCGGCCTTGAGCAGCTTCTCGGCGCGGCGCTTCGCCTTCTTGAGCTTGACCTTGTCGCCCTTGGCGTCCTTGGCCGCGGCCTGCTTCGCCTTCTCCTCGCGCTCCCGCTCCGCGGCGAGCGCGGCGTCCGACGCGTCCTTCGCGAGCTGCTTGTCCATGACCTCGCGCTGGCGCTTCTCCTTGAAGGCCTGCTTCGCCGCCTTCTTCTCCTCGGCGAAGCGCTTGAGGCGCGGGTCGTTGGCCCGCGCGCGGTCCACGAGGCTGACGATGCGGTTCATCTCCTCGCGCTTCCGCTTCTTCGCGAGCTTCTCGTTCTCCTTGGCCATCCAGCGCTTCTCGTAGCGGTCCTCGGCGGCGTCGGGGTCGTGCTCCCGCGCCTCGAGGCCGAAGTCGCGCCAGGACTCGAAGCGCACCCAGTACGCGTAGAACGCGTCGACGTCGGCCTCCAGAGCGTCGGCGCCGCCGAGCTCGGGCGCGGGCAGCTTCTCGGCGAAGCGCGCGTTGGACGCGAAGACGGGGCCGTAGGTCGCGAAGAAGTCGAAGGCCTCGCCCTGCTCCGACGCCTCCTTGCCCGAGGGGATGGTCTCGTCGAACGCGTTCGTCGAGTCGTACGCGCGGCGCTTCGTCTTGTCGCTGAGGATGTCGTAGGCCTTCTGGACGGCGAGGAAGACGGCGTCGCCCTCCTTGGCCTTCTTCTTGCCGTTGGCGTCGGCGCCGGCCTTGTCGGGGTGGTAGATGAGCAGCGCCTTGTGGTAGGCCCGCTTCACGAGGTCCGTGTCGACGCCGACGCCGCTCTTCTCGAGGCCCAGGAGCTGGTAGTAGTTCGTCTTCTTGAGCTGCTTCTCCGTGATGGCCACCGTCGGGCCCACGTCGTCGCCGGCGAGGCTGCCCTTGCTCTTCTTCTTCGCCGCCGCGGCGAGGGGCGTGGGCCGCGCGGCGCACTCCGTCGTCGCCTGGCGCAGCTCCTCGGCGTACAGCGCCTGGCCGCGCCCGATGGGCGCGACGTCGATGCTCGAGCACCGCAACCCG